TCACATGTGTGGAGTAAGGGTCCCAAATGCTGTTTTCCCTGCTGCAAAACCAGCCTTAAAATCTTACCAAAACAAACTTAAATGTGCATCAGCCTAAGAAAAGAATAAGACTGACCCAGCATGCTCCTGGGGGAAATCCTGGCTGTTCTCTCTCTATAGTGCTTCCTTTTTTTTTTTTTTTTTTCATAAATTAAATATTTTATTCTTTTAGAGCTCAATCTTATTTAAGATGAGAAGGGAAAGCTAATGAAGAAAGCCTTCTGATTCCAAAAGTTCCAAAAGTTGCATAGGGCTGAAATACAGCTAATGTGTACTGATATTTAAAAGAGTAAATGTAACAAGAGAAATAACTCTTGGCTAAGAGTCTGATGTAAAAATTGGGCAAAGTAATATAAGTAATTAAAGAATAAGTAAGGAAATATTTGTTTAGAAAGAGTTAAAAGAGGATAATAATAATACCAAACAAAACAGGGTTAAAGAAACTAGATTTACTAGTTTGGACATGAATTATAACAGTTCAGTCTATACAGGTAAAAGTGACGATGATGACGATGAGTGTTTAGCCTTCTATAAAGCATTTAATCAGGTGCTTCATGACATTTTCATCAAGAGACTTGAATGATACATGATCATTATGACACTCGCTAGAAGAGCACAAAGCTGGTTAGCAGCTGTACCTCCAAATGGAGCTACAGACAGTAAATCAGTGGTGAGCAAGAACATTTCTACAGGAGTCCTATAAGACTTAGACATTGGTCCTGTGCTGTATCAATGACCTGAAAAAAAAAAAAAGTGTTAGATTTGTAATTATTAAGGTTTACAGAGGACACAAAAATTTGAGGAATGCAAAATAATAAAGAACACATTTCTGAGCTGGACAGTGAGATAAGATGGTAGGAAGGAAAAATGAACCTCAGACAGAAAAAAAAATGCAAATTTTATTTACAAAAGTAGAACTCTGATCTCTAAAGAATTAAAAAAAATAAAATAGTTGGGAGACATGACAAATACCCACCAAATAGATTCTTCAACTGCAATACTGCAGCCAAACAGGTTAAATGCCCTTACATCATAAATATAACCACAATCTAGTACTAATCATCTTATCTCCATGCTTTCCACTGACATAACTGCCCCTGACATGCTGCAGCTGGTTCTGGTGCCTAGTTATTGAATGGTGCTGGAAACTTCATAATCTTCACAGGAGACATCCAGGAACAAATAAAATATTTTTTAAAGGGAGACTTCAAGGGGAGGTGATCCATGTAGGATGTCCAAGAGAAAGCTGTGGTCTCATGTTTATGACAGAGAAACTTGTGTGGTAACAGCCCTTTCAACTGAGCAGTCAGATGAAACATAATTTCATGCTGGAAAGTGAAGCTAGACAAACATTAGCCATAAATACTTGGTTTTAAGCACTGAGAGTAATATTGCAATAAATTGCAGTTTGCAACAAATTCTGCACCAAAAAAGTCTTCATTAGATGGATTTTCAAAAAGCTGCAGCCTTGTTCGTACACAGTTTAATTAACTTTGGGGAACAACTAAAAATGAATGGCCTTATAAATGTCTGAACTGCAGATTGCTGGTCTGTTCTATCATATATCTAAAAATCCTGGCTCTATGCTATGCATCTTGTAATCTATGTACCAGATGCTCACAGGGGTTTAAAGACCAAGATGAGTTCAGAAAGTACTTAATTTCTTGATACAGTGCCCCTTCATTTTATTATCTAGTACACCAGCCTACTGCAGCAAGCAATCTCAGTTTTCCAAAATTGTCCCATTCCTACTGCTATTCAGCATCACATTTTAGTATTGCTGTATGAAGCATATTACTTCTGGGTTATATTTTTTCTGACACTGCTATCATTTCTGCAGCACAAATTCACAGTGAGACAAACATTTCTATGTTTTTTTGAGAGTATCACATTAGACCACCATTATGTCATAGAACAGTTAGGGTTAGAAAGGACCTTAAGTTCCAATCCCCCTGCCATGGGGAGGGACACCATCATCCTCCAGGCACAAGAGGATCACCAGTGTGTTTTCAGATATGCCAGGCCACCTTTGTGACATGACCACTGCAGCAGCTGGATTGGCAGCATGCTTCCAGGCTCATGAAAGCATCTCAAAGAGGTTGTCCATTTCCTTCTACAAGTTGGCAGCTACGGAACTACCCTGATCCCTAGGCTATAACATGGGATAACATGTGAGCCCAGGCTCAGCATCAGTTAGCCTGTTGACTCTCACATGACTGCTTTCTGGTGCAGCAGCAGCAGTGACTTCCAGAGGCATGCATGTAGAAAATGTGTTGTATATAAGTTTATGCCAAGTATCAGAATTTAACAGAAAAAGTGGGTGCTATTTAATCAAAACACACTGTTTTAACATGCCAAAAAGTTTGTATCTCATAAGGCAGATTTAGTCCAAGTATAGCTTCTCTGATCAGACCTTTTAGTTATACCAGAGATGTATTTGGCCCAGTACTTAGAAACGAGACATTACCTGCAACAGACTGGTATTGTACACTAATTACAGTTCTCATCACTATAGGAATGTACTTTTGTCTATAGCTCTTCCATTCCATGAAAGAAAATGAAGCTCACTCAGTTAAACTAAAAACTAAAGATACAATAGAAATCTTGGATATATAAAATCCACTGGAATTGAGAATATAAACTGGTACAGAATGCAGTACATCTCCTTTAGAATAATTGATTTATACCAACTTACTTCACTGGAGAGTGCTGTCTACCTGTCTAGAATTCATCTTAACTTCCCGCTTAACACACAAATAAGTATCAGTTTATCAGATAAACAATGCCGTTAACTTTCTGTTCCATCTTTTGTCTTTGCCGTACATTTCTACTATTTGTAAATTGCAGATTCAGAAGCCATATGGATTAAATTGTTTATACAGGCTCATGTTTGGAAAATTTAACTTGAGGTTTCAAGCATCTTTGACATCTGCTTATGGAATGGTTCCTAATTCTGTGAATACCTTAGCCATATACTTAACAGCAAGCATAGGAATGGCTTTTGGGGATTAGAAATACTTTCTGACCTGGTACCCACAGAGAAACAGCACTGCACTTGGACTGGATGCTATGCCAGCTGGCAGAAAAACAGAAGGGAGGCCAGTCTTGGGGAGAATCCTTCACCTGCCTATTCTGTAAGGGTAGTATGGACTCAGCTCCTCTGAATCTCAAGTTCTTCATTCCAGAGTCTGAGCGCTCTCCACTTCTAGCAAATTAAGAGAGAGATGGTCAAATGGTTATCTTCTAAAAACAACTGGTACACTTGCTTTAATACAAAGTACTAAACATATTATATATGTGGAGTATATGTATATATAAACAAACATATATTCCAAATGTATAATATGTGCAAAATAATACCACTGACTCTTTAGCACTTAGGTTTACTACTAAGCTTTTCTTCTTTTATAATTATGAACATACGAGGATAATGTCTCTGACTTTAGCTTAGACTCCTCTCCAATTCAAACATTTTATACAGAATGCTTGCTTCCAATCTTCAAAACACTTCATCACATCATCAAGCTTCTCTGTGCAGAGCTCAGACAGGTATCTTCACACTTCTATACATAACACTTGCGATTTTTTTTCATTTATTGACATACATTTAAGGACCAAAGCCATTTCTAATACAACCTATTGAAATTAAGTTCTGCAATCTGAAAACTTCTCTCTTACAATACCACCATTGCAAACAATTACAAATAGCCTTTCTTATCAGTTTTCCATGTCCAGGCCCACAGACTGCCCTACAGATTACTCAAGAACAGAAATTAATGGTAGTTGAAATCAGTACTCTCTGCCTTCTCACCTGTGCTAGATCACAACAAGTCCTTTAAATATCTTGAATACTCTAACTTGAGTTCTTCCAGGCTCAGAGTATGCCAGCACTGAGAAGTCAGAAGGTTTTGGCACCCCAATACTACAGATTCAAGACATAATTTGAATCTCAGCAAGGCAAAAAACCCCAAACCAAAACAGAAAGCCCACAACGCTAAGCCCAGTGAGGAAAAACCACTGCACCAGGTCTTTGGCTTCAGTCTAGGTTACAGAAACCCTGCCCAGTTTTGCTATTAAAATTTCACTTTCACATAGAAAAGTGTCCTCATCCGAATTAACTTCTAAAATTAGGACAAAAGTATGAGATTAAGTGGTAAGAGACCACTGTAATGATCTATTCTGACCTGCATGTACCATACAATTTTTCTAAATAATTCCAATTTAAACTAACAATCTTCAAGTCTAGATTTTTCATCTCCTGTGATGGAGATTTTATTATTTTCTTAATTACAAGGCACTTTTCATGTCAGTTATTTCTAGAGAATTTATAGTTTTTACTAATACAAGTAAATGTATCTGGATACAGTGTGTGAGCACCTGTGGCAGGCAGCATTCAGCAGAACAGATCACAGCCTGCACACATCCCCTCCTTCACCTGGTAAAAGTATCTACACTACCAGAGCAGGCAAGTTCTCTTTCAGGAGAATTCTGACACAAAAAGGCAGAGAGCTTCTGAACTTCCCTGAAGTTAAAGGTGGCTTCAGTCACACTTCTGGAATTGTATCACAAGTACCAGAATAGACATTCGGGTCCAAAGCTTAAGGGACTAATCCAGTACCTGGGTCTGCTCCTCCATGGAAAAATGCTATTTATTTAGAAAAGACACTGTTCTCTCCTAAGCAATTGAAACAACCACCAGTTGTACCTCTTAGACTCTTAATGGAACAAAATAGGCACATTCAGCCATTTGGACCTACTCAATAAACATGGTTTCCTACAAAGAAAAGAAAGCGAGCTCAGCTGCAGGTTTCCAGCTAAGAACCTTACCCATCATGTGAAATAACATTTTTTTCCCTTCATGAAACCTTATTGCAAGCTCATGACAGGACAGACGACTGCAGCCACCAGTTACTGTTAATTTAAGCATAATTGGATTTGCTATAGTTTCAGTAAACAAGTAATCAAGTGCTTAAAAATCTATTTTAATGATGTTTTCAAGAATAATAATACTCTTCATTACAAAAGAAAGGTAAAAGGTACATCTTTTACATATAAGAAACTTACACCAAAGGCAAAGAATATCTTAAAACCAAAATAAAGCTATGTTGTTCGCTGCAGGAAAGCTTCAGGTATTTGCGATTAATCACTCGATTCACTTTTGGAAAAAGACGAAGATGGACTGTCAAAATAATTACTCTACCATGTCAGCTTTAAATATTTCACTGACTGTCAACAATTTAGCAATAAAATTACAAATATACAGAAAACAGATCTGCTACTGCACTACTACTGCATAGCTACACATACAACCAATAGCAAAAATTCATAATAATATGCAGAAATTAAGTGTTTTCCATTCATAAATGCAGAATTACTCCCACATTCCACTCTGTCCCAAAATGAACATTCAACACAGTGACCAAAAAGGAAGACAACTGTTATTGTATTTCATAGAATGTGCAGAAATCTACATTAATCACAAATTGGGACTAACCTTAATTCCACAAATTGTTTGCTGTATAATCATAGCTCGTACATGGAAACATGTAAAAATAATATTAACAATTAAGTACAAATCGGAGTGAAAACAGTGATGCCAATGAGGGGGTCTCATTCCATGACTACTGCTTCTTGGGCAGAACAAGCCCTAGTTCAGCAGTCTTACCCCAGGGACATTACCAGTAACAGAAAGCACAATCTTAGTAAAATTCATATGTAAGGCCAAAAGTGATCACTAAAAATGTTTTACAAACAGTAGGACAAGGACATCGGGAAAACAGAATACTGTTGCATTCATTGCAATATCAGGCATTCAAGTACAGCATTACTAATACAAAATGCTACAAATGCTTAATGCATGCAGATAGTCCCCAGACTACTTCATAATTTCTAAATCAAAATAATACATATGTAAGGATGAAGCATGGGTTCTGTTTATATAAGCTTTGATAAGAAAGGGCACATTAAATCATGACTGGCTCACTACCATGAAATTACATTTCTAAATAATTTAATCCCTCAAAAAGTATTTCTTGCTAAAAATCCTTCATTTCTCAGTGTAATAGTTTGTATACTTTGAAGATGTACATTTATACAATCTACAGTCTCAGCAGGAAATAAATTTCAGGTTTATCATCATTACTGTGTTCCAGCTGCAGAACAGAATCATGTGTATATAACTGGTCGCTACATCCATAGTGCAAAGCAGAACATGTACCCTCTGGCATTCCTCGGCCCTCCACATCCTCCCCATGGAAGCCATTCAGGTATCTGGCTATGTATGAGCCTGTTGAATGCCTGTTGATAACATGAGGACATGCTGAGGGCTTGTTCCGAAGGATAACCCCTGCTACACTACTTGTGGTAGAAGATTTTTGCTTGCTGGCAGCCTCCTGCCTCTCCTTGGCACGACTGGCTATATTCCGTACTCTGCTCTGACTTCTGGAGGAGAGTTTTCTGACCAGTGCTTTTGGGCAGTCTTCATCAATCTGCCTGGAGTACAGCGTTTGACAGCTGTCCTCCTGGTCCAGGGACACCAGCTTCCTCAGCTGTTCCGTCAGAGCATCTGTTGAATGTGGTCTCATATTTTTCATAGAGGCAAGTTTCTTGTCTCTCATGCCTGATGAGATAAAGCTCCTACTTATGTATTGATACTTACTTTCAAAATTGCAGGAAATATCCTCTGATGTCAAGTCACCAAGACTCTTGGATTTGCAAGGGCTAGTCTGCTTGATGGCTGAATGAGGGGGGAAAGACAAAGCATTTTTGAGCAGCGGTGAGTGTATGTTGAGCTGGGATGTCTTGGAGGTACACATTACATTTTTTTGTTTATCTGAATGATGATGATACAAGAAACCAACATTTTCACACACTGGAAAAGGGAGATGACTCCCTGCAGTCCTGAAGTTTCCTGAGCAGTCCAGGGCAGCAGCACAGAGCTCAACAGTTGCACTGTTCTCAGAAGGCCTCCCTCCATCGTGCCCAGCATCCTGCTTTTGCCTCAGTTTCAAAGGGGAAGCCAACTGGCTCATATCTTCCCTTTTATACTCACATGCAGTTATCAACAGATCTTGAGAATCCCCATCTACTTCTATAAGACTGCTGCTTTCTGAATTCTCACCACTGAGAGGGTCAACAAGTGCCTCCTCAAAGATGAGGCTATTGGAAGCAAAAGAACTAGCGGTCTTGCAGGCTTCCCAACTTGTTCCAGATTTTGTTCCACATATTCTTTTGGAATTTGCATTTAGCAAAGAGAGAGGTGATGGACAAGGAGAGCTAGGCATGTTATTTTCTATACTATTTACTTTCTTCTTGCAAAGTAATCCATTGTGGGTCTTACATTCAGAAACTGGCGTAAGAGTTGCTTCATGGGCAACTGTGTGCACAGAATACTCTGCAGTCTCAGGGCTGGAGAACAGGGTAGTATCTGGAGTGGAGAACAAAGGGGATTTGATGGCTTTTGTGACAGCAAAGTTGTGCATACAGGGACTGTTAGGATACTCGGTAAGCACACATGTGTGTGTACCTGTCATACTGAAGGCCTGGCTGCTAGTGCCATGGAGGCTTGATACAGCAGTAAGACTAGTTTCATCATCTGTGACATCAAACTGCCCAATCAGAGCTGAGACAGCGCTATCCATCTCGCTCTCATTCACTAAAGAAACTTCATCTATAAGGCGAGAAAGGTCACTGTCTTGCATGGTTAGACTAGAGTGCAAATCAGGTGCATCAGGGCAAGTGGTAGAAGAAATACCTGTCAAAGAAAAAAGGGCTGCAGTGCTTTTCTTGATGATGTCATATTTTTTACTTTCCATCTCTTCTTTTGGGGAAAGGGAAGTCCCTACATGAGTTATTTTCTCCTCCTTAGACCCTTTTGCATCATCTTCCTTTTTATTGTCTGCACAGTTTTTGTTATGCGTTTTTTCTGTGGCAAGTTCAAAATCAGAGTGCTGCATTAGAGGGACAGTTTCATCAGAAAGATTATTTTCCTGATAGTCTATAAGGTGATTTGCTTCAGCTACTCCACTTGCAAAAACTAAATTTTCAGGTTGCTCCTGTAGAGGTGATGCTAAAGAGTCAACTGTAGTCTCCTGGTCATTCTTCTTAAACTGAGATGCCAAATTTGAAGTATTTGCTGGTTTCTCTGAACACGGAAAAACAGATTCTTTCAAGTTTGTTTCCTTCTCGTTTGTATTGCCATCACTGTTGGCTAAATTAAATAAGAAACATATTAGTTGCATACAATACTGTGTTGTTTATTAACAACTATTTTGTCCTTAGACAGACAAATGGAGAACGCAAAATTGGGTACAGTTTGTGACAGAACTTAATCATGGGGTTGTGCAGGTACAAATTATCTGAGTGACATGAATAAATGAAAAAATACAACTGCAGGCACTTCACTGAAACTTCCTTTGAATGTCTATTACATCAAGCATGTGATGTAATATTTGTTGCAAATAATGTTAATGAGGCACCATATCATAGCTTGCACATGGTATTACCTTCAGCTGTGTTCCTATTCAGTTTTGTACTATAAAGAAGCATGGCAATAAAGACAGAACAAAACAGCTCTGTTAAAAAAACATAATACTTTGAAACCAGATGCATGGTTAAAAGAGCTGAGTAAAAAGTACCAAATAGATGGATTCCAGACTGTTTTATACACGTAGTTATTGTAAAGTATCACAATTTAAGGATTTCATTTTTCATCTTCTAACAGCATGCTACATTCATGAGAGCAAGATTTTGAATTCCTTAAAGAAAGTGAATTAGATATTTTCTCCACCAAATCTTCTTACATGTCTTTATATGCCAAATCCAAGCTCCAAGACCCATTTCTTTGGAGCTTTTAATCAAGCAGGGACTACAGAATCAAGCTGTATCTAACATTTGCTAGAAATCAGGTACCCTAGAAGGAAATGAGAAGCCTTGATCATTCACTAACAGTGCCTGAACCCCCACAGTAAGAACTGTTTCTAACAGACATGTCTGGTTTTGCTGATCTCCAAAATCTGTAAAGTTTCCCAAGCTTTCCAGGTGCTTCTACCTAAGGATGGATGAGATGTACGCTGCTTTGATTTGTAAGTTTTTTTTTTTTGTCTTCTCTATGAAGAACAAAGGTGAAAATAGACCACTTGGCATACTCCCAATTAAGGCACTACAGGTACACTCAGCCATAGTATTTTAGCAAGAAACATCTCTGTTGGACAGCCAGCCCTTTCCATTCTTCATTGTATTCTACAATAACGAACACCTCAACTGGCTAATAACTCCCCATGGGTGAAGCCACCTCCCACTCTGAAATATTTAGGCTGAGCTTACTTTATGAGAATACCCAGGCCTATTCCTGTAGGTGCACAAGGGTGCATTGTACCTTTTCTTACCACTATTCCACATAGGTGCTTCCACAAGAGAAAAAAAAAAAAAAAAAAGGGGGGGGACACAGGCAGCTTTTCTCTACATCCACCACTAAGCCAGGGTGTTCCTGCAGCACAGAGAAAGGAACAGCTCCCTTGGGGACAGAAGAGGGCTCCATTTGGAATGCTGTCTTCTTCATGTCTCATTTCTTGATGTCTAAGGTGACCAGTCCTTCGCAGACTAGCCTTCCTTATGGAGACTCTAACGGACAGAATTCTATGCCTCTCATAGTTAGAAGGGGCAGGATTCATTCCCTGTGACAGCTTTTGGTTTTTTTTAGGTCATGTCACCAAGGTCTGTGTTTTCAACAAAGGTTATTTTGCTACAAGTGAACAATTCTGACCTCCAAAAACTTTCCTTCTAAAGAATTTTGTGTGTTTGTATGTAGCATCTTCAGAAGAAATATGAAAGAAATTATTACATCTTTTGCAAAGAATGGCTGAGCTGCATCATCTTCAAAGGTTTATCTAGAGGATCTTTCAATTTAAAATACAGCATTTCAAAGTTAACTTCTTTTACAAGGAATATCCTTTTTCCCGTCTACAGTTTCTTCTCAGGGTGGTAGAAAAAGAACTGGTTTGATTTTGCTTGCTATTTCTCCTAACTTCTTTTACAAGGTGACCTGCAGATTATCTGTTCCTTCAGAGCCACTTACATAGGCAAGTAAAACAAAGGTGACTTAACAACATATTCTTATCTGCCCCCAGCAGTTCCCCTATTTTAGGGTGGCTCCTGTGGCTGCTGGAAGCTGCTGCTTCCTAGCTGAAAATATTCAGAGCAGCATTTCTATCACTCCCCCCAGCCAAGAGAGCTTCTCTGTGCACTCTCTGTGAGCCAAGGAAGACAGACTGTGCTTCTGGCTGTCCTGTGTCAGCTGAGGAAGAGCCCTGCAGGACTAACTGCAGAAACACTGTGCTGTCAGAACTATGATCTGGCTACCCCTGCAGCCACAGGGGGACAGCCTATGTGAGTGCACACGCTCTTTCCAAACAAACAAAAAACAGCCCCCAAAAGCAGTATAGATGATCTGGATCAGGTAAAAGCTCAGGGTGAAGACAGCAGGTCTAATGAACTACAGCTACCGTATTCAAGATTCCTAAACTTATGTAAATACTCCAGCAAATAAAATATTAGGCAGGTCAAACACACTAACTTTGCTGTAGTCATGGGAATAACTGGATTTTGAAACCAGGACTATTATTGCTGAATGTACTTACGAAAAAAAAGGGTATTTTAAGAATTAGATTGTATTGTGCATCAATAATAGATGACCACGATTGTATCCCAACACATGCTTTTGATACAAATTAAATTAAGCAATCTAGGTTAATATCGAGAATGCTGGGTAGAGTTTGACCTACTTTTGCCCCCCTTACATCTATTTGAAAGTCTGCATTAGTCTTTGCACACACTTATTTTCAAAAACGTATGCTGCATGCTGTTGTCCCTCCTTGAAAATGGAGAGAAAAAACCACCATGCCAGCAGCTCCGGTTCCATATGTAAATGGATAGTAGTAAACCAGAAACTGAAATACAACTGAAAGTTGCTTCTTAAAATACAAAAAAGAAATTTGGGTACTGCCCTTTTAAGAGTACTTCCAAAAATTATTGCAATTCATTTGCCTCGTTTGCAGAGTAATTTTGTCCACGTTGAGTTGAGTAAAACCACTTGCATAGAGACTGCAGAACTAAGCCTTTTAGCAGACTATTTCAACTTACTACACCAATAGTAATTTTGGAAGTATCTTACCAGATGTGTTTTCTTTCCCTTTGGCATCTTGGGCAGTTTCATCTGCTGGGCATGGCAGTCCTACAAGAAGATATTTGTCCACGGGCATAGAAGCAGGACGTGCTTGCAAGCTCCGGCTTGTACGCCTTACAACTCCTTTGTCCTTCGGGTCTGTTGGTTCTGATGCACTGTCTTTAATTTCAGTAGCTTCCAGAAAACCCATCTTGCTTTTCTTTCTACCTTTTGCTGGTGCACTGGCTGTGCGCCGGAGAATTCTATCACCAATAGATCGCTTCCGTACACAGTGCCCACTGGTTTCAGCAGAACTGTGCTTTGGGTTCTTGTTAAACAGACCCCTGAGTCCTATCAGTTGCTTATTCTGAAAGGACAAGAATAGCCACAGTTTCAAGTGAGTTCAAACTATTGTATGAATACAATGAAAAGGCCTGCTTTTACAGCATTTATGAATAATGAAGACAAAGTTAAAAATGCAGCAAAGCAAAAATTCACACCAAGCAATTCACATCTGCTCTGACCAAGAAACTATCAGCACTGGCCTCCATGAATTCATGCATGTCTGTATTTCTCCTCATTAAGATGGCAGCCTGCCACAGTTATAAGAAGTTTGCTCAAAATCTCTTAATCAGAGATGACAAGATTGTAAAACGTGTACTACAGTGACAGGCTACACATTAACTTGGAATTCTATGCATGGGCTTCATCAAAGCAATATTCAAATGTTTCAGAGTCTGAATGAAGAATGATGTAAATTCGGTAGTTGCAGATCATGCGATTAGGAACCATTCAAAAATATCTGTGCCCAGCAAGTGCAAAGTGCATGCTAATGAAGTCTACCTTTGTGGCTCCTAGAAAGTGCAATATTGTGTAACTGGGATTGAGGATTAAAGGACTCCACTGAAAGGCAAAAACAAAATGCAAATACATTTGGCTACAAGCTTGATACAAGCAAATAAGGTAGTAGTACATCAGCTGTAAATATAACTGCTCTACAGCAAATTTAAACCTATTTATTAATCTAAAGTAAGTTTCTCTCAGAAACTTGAACAGATACCCTCACTTGTAAGGAGACAAATATGCACTCAGCCTTTGTTTATACATTAGAAACAATAGCACAGCCCATCATTAAGGCAAGCATTAGATGAACAGATCAAGTGATACAGAGATCAAGTCTCAATGGGTCTTCTCCTCCCTTCCTCCTCTTGGTCTTCCCTATGAAACTACTCTTTACTATTTTTCTTGAGTCTGTTTCTTCTTTGAAGAGCACATGAGCCAAGAGCAATAGCCAAACAGGCTCTGCTACAGACTACCACCAAAATTGTATGTGATTTCACATTTGTACCCAGACATGTACAGATCTAGGTATACATTGCAGTGAATTCCAGCCTGTTCACTACTGTTTCTCTTTTTACACTGATTTAGGAGTAACAAAGTCTACCTTGAATACTAAAAGATTCTCTTTGTGCACAGAATGTGAACAGATCTGGAATGGTCAGTGCCGTTCCATCCACCACCTTGCTGCTGTCCTCACTGGGAGGAAGAACACTTGTGGAGGCAAAAACAGAGGAGTACATTGAAACCCTGGTCCCTGTGCTGAGACAAGGATGCCAAGAGCAAGATACCTAAGTTGCTTAGAGAGCCACTATTGAATCATTCAGTAACCTAATGGGATCAGTGACAACAAAGGTAGGGGAGTTAAGTAAGGATCTGTTCTATACCAAATCTCAGCCCCAAGGACTTGTATATGTTATTTTCTATTTCTGTTCCACTCGGCTTTCCTTGGGTGCTTGCAGAACTGTAGTTTTACATATTTGACATGACATTCTTTGCATCCACTCTCAGAAGGGAGAAAGACTGAGGGCTAACTGCTCTTTTCAACCTTTACCCTTCATAAAGGTGGGGAGGCTGGTTTGTGGGGTTTTCCGTTTGGTTAGTTTTTTCAATCATTACAAAGAGCTATTTTATTTTAGCATTCCACTGAATATGGCCTTCATTTATTTGTGGTAGTTATCTCCAATGTGAACTGTTCATGAAGGCAGTTGAAGCAGGAATGTGCAAAAAAAGGACTGTGCTTTTATTTTCATTTAAAAAAAAATTAAAATCAGTAATCTTGCAGAAAACCAAAATCTCTGCTCTAAAACCTTAAAGACTTAAAGCTTAAATTGGTTGCTAAAATAGCTTGCCCAATACCATGTTCTGGTGCTGTTACAGTTCTCAAGATTTACTTTAAAATAAAATTAGTTTAACACATTGAAGAAATGTACTTACTGTATCTTGACATGATAATTATTAGGCGCTAACAGTAAGAACATTGATGAGTACATGCATGCTAAGCCTAGAGTAAGAGTACATTATGCTTTCCTTGCTGATCACCCACAGGGAACCCATCACGCGCTATGAGCCACATCCTTCTCCTTCCTGAGTGCTCCAACAGAAGCATGTCTTTGCTGTTATTGGGGTATCTGAGCTGGAGAAAGGTTTTACTGGTCATGGGTGTGCTGTGAATGGATACCCTGGCTCAGTGCTCCTCAGAGAAAACACTATAAGGCATTGTATTTCTCTTCTTTGAGAATGCTGACACCTGTATGTTTGTAGTTACCTATAGACACAAGTATAGACAAAGACATCAAGTTTAGGACAACAGAGAATCAGACATTGTGCTATGTCATTATTGTATAATCCTAATATTTTGTTTCAAATTTATTACTGATCACTGCCAGGGAGAGCTAGGCACTGCTAAACCAAGGTACAAACTGCCACAAACCTAAGCTGCAAGAATCATTTAGAAACCACACAAATCTGTGAGGTTCTATTATATATTTAAATCCATTTTTATCAGAAGAATTAAAACAAACAAGTCATAAAGGATGTAAATTTCCAAATATACCTACCTTTCCATAGATGTCATTTATGATTATATGAACGAATATGGAAGCTTCTGTCAGTCCTTCTAAATACACATGACGATAACCTAGTAAGCCAAAATATTACACTACATATAATTTTAAGCACAACTGGTAATGAGTGCCTATTAAAGTGAAATATACACAGTAAGCCACCTCATGCTTTTACTAAAACTTCTCTTAGGTTCTTACTTGTTTTCCAAGCCCACCCCAGAACAAATTTCCTCCAAGTTATAAATCGGACCCCAATAGCAATTTCCAAAAGCACAGACACCCAAACTCCTTCACATAATGCTGAATATACCACCCTAAGGAGAACTGTCCGTGCTTGTACAAGAAGTCTCAGAGATATATTAGTGTATCTCTTATGTTGATAACTTCATCTTTAAGTTTAAAGCTCTTTGTTCTTCAGCTAGATTTCTAAATCAAACAAGTGGGACTAACCAGGCACAAGACTACTAAAGGCCAGGGTTCTTTGTCCAACGAAGTCTCGCCCTATAGGATCATGGTCCCAAACAAGAAATCGCACCAAAGCTATTTCAGGCATGTGGACAGTGAAAGTGAGTGTTTCTTCCCAAACAGGATTAAACCCTGTAAAGCAAACAGAACAGAAATTTTGGAAAACAAGTCCATAGGAAGCACTAGCCTCAATATTCCTGATACGCAGCAAGAGGCATAGGAAACAAGCAGACCAAACACACAAATGACAACTTATTGCTCATCCAGATAGAGGTGCACTCAATCTCTATTATGTATGTAACTCAAAGTGACAGATCTGTCTCTTGGTTTGCTTTTACAAACAAAACGGTTCTGTTTGGGTAGCTGGCAAGGATACTAAGGCAAGTCACTTTTTTGTAAAACTGAAGTAGGCTAAAGACAAATCAGAACAAACAGGAACTACATTTGTTCCCTCCCCATTGTTTTACAACTGCCTATGAGAAGTGATGCCATCTCTCCTGTTGCAATAGGCTATCCCACTCTGTTATTCAATCTTCCTCCTATGAAGGCTGAGGTGGCAGGGAAATTGCCTAGGGTGTGATTTGGTTTTTTTTGTTGCATTTGAAGTTATACCTGTATTTTCCATACATTAAAAAATAAATAAATAAAAAATTTGCAACTTCTGCATAAAGGAGGTTTAAGAACTATCCAGGAGACAATATTGTGGTGAACAGCTCCTGTCCTTCACTTCTAGCTTGTCTGTCTCCCCACACCAGAAATTCAGAATTAATCTGTTAGAATACAATCATTTCAATTCATCAGATAAGAATCTCTGCAATTTAGAAAGTAATAACAGATATTAAATCATTTATAAATACTTAATATTTTACTCCAAGAAGAAGGAATCAGCCTGATTATCTTACCATTGTCATCAACCACCCTGGTCTGATCTTTACAGCAGTCAACAGGTAGCCCAATGATTTCCACCTCAACAAAGGGATCTATTATCTATTTTTTAAAAACAAAGTATTTTAAAAGCAAGCCAACAATAAAATCTAAAAGTCAATTTTTCAGAAAATTCATGCAGAGAGTTAATTTAAATTCATATGAGAATTCAAAAACCTTCGATTCACATGGATTTTCAAGCAGCATAATCATGAGAAATGACTTCATAAAGTATAAGTTGAGGTATGGTTTGTAGTCTCAAAAGCTATGGCCAGCTATGACTAATTTTCAAGAAAGTACAAATCAGCTCTTAAAGATCATGTGTAGGATACAGACTCCTTGGGAAAATGCAGCATTTAGTGACCAAAAGCTTGAAAATATCAGAAATTTATTAGTATATTTAAATAAGGAGAAAGCTTATTTGAGTCACAATCTGTCATGTCACTCCAGGGCCTTTCATTGAAGCATCTGTTGGTATCAGAGTATCTTACCTCTCCTCTGTCCCCTAACATGGAGTCAGGGGGCTTAGGTAGCTGCTGTCCACTGATGATTTTCAGAATAAACTGCTTTTTAGGACTGGCAGGAAGTGGATCAGCAGAGTAGGGGTTGAATGTGCCTAAAAGATGGCAAAGAATGAGAATTGTAAGGAAAAGATACACAGAAGATGTATCACCCAAGATGCATTCATACAGCTGAAATTCAGTCATAAGAAAGAAACTTACAGAGTATGAAACAGCTGTTGATTAATTTTAAAATTCCATTCCACTTTCTTGCAACCTTTTCTGAGCTAAGCAGCCCTTGGTTATATGATTACAAGACAGAAAGGTCCCCTCTAATAAGTTATGAATGTATGGAAATATTAAAGATTCTATATATGTTCTTTCTTGTGTCTTCACGACTTCATATGAAGACACTTTCTGAAAGGCTTGACACAGTAAGAAATGTATAGTGGGGCATTACCTTTGCACATCTGCTGAGGTTTGAGGACATAACCACAGTTGCCGTTTACCCTAAATTTTGCTTCATTTAACTGCATCACACGTCCCTCAGACTGGTAGTTTAGTGCCACTGATGAAAGAAAAAACTCAGGCGTCATTGATAATGATAATATTCACTTATCACATACACAAGGACTGGGAAGTAAGTTTTCATGCAACACCTACCTAACTGGCAGCCAACGTTCCAGTAAGGTAAAGGATTGAAATTGCTGGAGTCAATCCGATAGGCTGATGGATACACCCTTGTAAGCTGTTTCTGGTTGTAAAGCATAAACTGCTCGGCCTTCTGCTGCACTGCTTGGTGGGCTCTTGTTTCACTGAATGATAGCACATTCCCTGTTGATCCTGCATGCATTGTTAAATCAACAAACAGGTTATAAAGGAATCCCAGAAGATGGGGGCCTGAACTCAGACCTCAGTTATGCTGGTATTAATCAAGGGGAACATGAGATTTAGTCCTAAATTATAACACAGATTGCCCTGTCATATGCAAATCACACACACTGCATAACTGAAGACCACCAGTTTCCCCTTCCAGCAGGGTCTTTTGTTCTACTGTCAAGCTTCCAGAACTTAAAGGGGAAGCCAAGCAAGAGCTGAAGCTAATTGCTAGAGCCTTTTCTCCTGCCAAACAGCCCAGACATGATTGCTAAGAAGAATCTACAGAGAAATCTACTAATGGCAGCATGATGATAACTATCTTACTCAAGAGCTTACAGTCAGGGGGAAGAAGTGCCCAGCAGGTCTCTTGTCCTTGTTAACACATTAATAGAAGCACTCAACCCATTTCAACTCATCCTTTCTCTAAGTAATCCAAGCAAACTTTCCAATTTGTAAGTCTTTCCTCTGAGAGTTTTACCCCTTAGGCATACCCCCTCTGATCAGCCCTCTGGGAGAAAGACTGCCCAGAAGACTTTCTTAGGTAAAAGTGCCCAACTGTGAGAGAGCAGTTAGACCCACTCAGCCATATGACCTCTCCATGCCCATCTCTTCAGCTAGGATCAAGAAAGCACAAGATCTAGACAAAAGGTAAGAGCAAGCCCTCCTTTCCAAATCGTCAAGAGCAATCAGATGGATTCAGATTGCATCTGGACTTGCAGAAAAAGCTGAGCTGTTTGTCAGCTCAGAACAACGACACTGAAACTCTTCAAGACTTTGTTCTTGTATGATACCTTGAACTCTCTCCATGGTGCTTTCACCCTCCTTAACTTATCCCATTAAATTCTATTAAATTAGGAATTAATTTTATAGTAATTACAGAATTTCATACAGAGTTTGCTCATGTACATTTAGTGACCCTCCCCACAAATTCCTTTGCAACTTTCTCAGTGTCCATTTTACCTCTGTTTAGTAAAACAACTGCACAGTTTCTGAATGGGGATCATATCTATTTATCACAACTAAAAATCTATCATGTTATTAGATGCTACTTAAAATTGATAAAGCTAAAAGATGATGACAAATTCTAGAAAACTGTGAAAACAGGAAAGGGTTTGCCTAAAAAAACTTTTCAAAAAAAAAAGACATTTTCAAAACCATCACTAAAACATGAATGACATATCAAGGGAAAGGTGGTGCTTTACTCTTTCTCTCTGTCGTGGGTTCGGCAGTAGCAGTCAGTTAGGTAAAAGGAACAGGTAACTAACTCCTCTGCTTTTAAAACATCTTAAAACAAAAAACCCCAAAACAAAAAACAAAACCAAAACCAACAAACAAACAAGGGAAAAATGAAGAAGGCAGACATGCTTCCTATCCAAATAGGAAAGTGAAAAAGGCATGTATAAGTCTTGTGCCAGCAGCCTTACCATCATCTACTATATCCTGGGCAGCCACAGAGTTTGTGTACACCACTAGGTCAGAGAGAGCTCGGCACAGCTTCACTGTTCTTCTTCGATGAGCCAGTCTGCTGAAATATGTTCAATACATAAAACAAATCAGGAGATTTTCAATATTTAAAGCATATTTCAAGCTCCCTTTCTCTTCTTTTCATCTATAAGGAAATGAACAACTGTGAACAGGGAACCGTGTGTGGCAAACTTTCTCAGAGAGGGCTCCAAGACGACTGTTCCCCTCGTACCTGTATAGTCACAATACACATTTTTTTTCATTTAAAACATAATGAAATAGCTGCACCATGTCTCTTCTCAACATAAACAAGGCAGACAGCTTTGAGCTGTATCTGAAAAAGGAGCACTGGAGTGACAACAAATGCATTCTCAATGGCACTTTTTTGATTGCTTTTTCTTTACATTCTCAGATGTAATAAAGTTTGCTGGGCTGTGATGTACCCTTACCTAGCCTAAACAGTTTTCTTACAGCATGCAAAATGTAGATCGGCATTTTTCCATTAGAAGAGTATTACTATCAGCTATGAAAACCTATGTAATCAAAATATCAGGCTACAGCAGTCAAGCAAAATATACACCAACAGAAGTGTCATAAATGACCTGGTCTTAAGAACAGACTTCCCCGAGGCAATGACATGTAAGTATTGATAATAGTAAATATTGCCTCTAGCTTAACTGAGCTGTAAAACTATGGTGATTCATGGCTCACCTGTGGAGCTGCCCCATTTCCTTTCCACAGGGTGTTTGCTGGCTTTCATCATCATCTGATGCACTATGGTATTTGGATGCTACCTTCACAGCTTTCTGTTGGGAAAGAATCAAGCACAGCTGTGTCAGCTTATGGGGTGGGTCTATAAATACACATTCTTGTAATTAATGTCAGTGGGTTGGGCAAGCTGCAGAAGGTTTACAGCACAGGACCAGTGTCCTACAAGGATGCTGAATGACCTCTGGGGGTTTGACAACAGAAAACTCTGGGTATGTCAAGTGTTTCCATACATGCAGAGAAAAAAAGCCAAAACAAAGCACGTGTGCCCAGATCTCACTATCCGGCTGCAAGGGTCCAAGCCTGCATCCAGGGAGAAGTTTTATCTGCTGGCAAGCAGACAAATCCAAGCCTGAAGAATATTATTTCTGCAAACTGACCAGTCCTTTGCAAGCCAGTGCATATTCTGCAGCTTCCCTCCCCTGCTCCCTCCTAACATGAAAACACAACAATGTTCCAACTGTCTCCAGTACACTGGCCACTAGTCCTGCTGAAATTCTAATGGGTTGTATCATATTTAACAAACAGTAACACACAACATGCGTTGCTTTCACCTACCTATGCTACTCCCAACTTAGAAAATTTAGGGAATAATCCACGAAGTGGAGAACAGTCTGGGCAAAATTTTCAAACGTCATCCTTCTGCGGCCTTTTGAGCCCCCCCATACAAGCATTCAAGTTATTCCAAATTATTACAGTAGACAGTAAATAGCTATGATAAAAACATTAACATCTCCAAAGCACCTTTATTTCACAAGCAACTGTTACTTAATAGTTTCCTATTTCAACAACATTACATCTTTTGTAACACTAACAATGTCTTCAAGTGAGAGTTTCTTTAATTCCCTTCTCATCAAGGGGTAATTAACAATATAACTGAAAACTCTTTATCCTTTTACTCATATGGCTAATTGAGCACAGATTTCTCCTGTTATGATACACAAATAATGTACATAATTTAGTTTGCTGTGTTTAGCGCTGAAATAAAATTGCCTAGATTGGGAATAATTTCCTTGGTTTAATTTTGGAATCTGAAGGTCTGCACCGGGGATGCTTCCCACAGTTAAGTTGCAGGAACTACCAGCCTTAGTGTGTTTGTCCCTCCACTGGCAGTTTTTAAAGAGTTTATACATGAGGCACAAGAGCTGGCTGAAAATACCCCAAGTCAATATCCCTGAGTGGATGATTTTGTACCTGCAAAAATATCAATAGTAACTGTCCTTCCCTTTAGCTGGAATGGCATAAATGGGAAGTTACTGGACAATCCTGTTGCCTCAGTCTACAACACAATTGGGAAGAAAAAAAAAAAAAAAAAAAATCTATATATACTCTGAATTTTTTTCAGCAGAGATGAAGCAAATGGGCTTTCCAACCTTCTCTATCCATTAGGTTAGATAGTTGTAGTAATTAAATTATTGACATATTTTCCAGCCCTCAGCATAACCAGCAATTTTTAGTGGCTGACTTTCGCCTGTGATATCTCATTCCACAGCATCTGTTTTCCCATCAGCAAGCACAGGTTACAAAGAGAAGTGTCCACTATCATGCACAACAGGTACTTACAGATCTCAACATATTCTGGGTGAATAATGTGCACTTAGCTAAAGCTGCTGAAAGAAGTATGTTCGCTTCCATCTGATGTAAGCTTATAATCACAGTGTAAATGAGTCCTGCTTAGAGAATGAATTTCTGATGGCTACTAGCTGACTCCACAGCAGATGAACTGGTGGCTGATTAAGTTGTATGAACTATTTCATAATTGCTGTTTTTCCTAAGCTGATGCTCAGATTTTATCAATTACAGAGTGTGTTCCCTGCTCAGATGCAGCTTTCACTGCAAAGAGCACTGAAGAGCAATACAGGTGTCTTGCAGGCTGGGGCAGAGGCAGTGCTGGCAGCACAGTGACTCAGATGCAGAACTGCTGTGTGCCCCTTTCCTGACAAGCCTATCTACTGATTTATTTACTTGGTATCTGCTAATTGACTCAGGAGGAAGGAAGCCTTCAGTTGAACCAAATCATGCTGAGATTACATGTTCAATAAATCCAAGCCTCAATGCACTGTGGGAGTGTGGGAACAGGGGAGGTGGATGACAGGAACACATTTGTCAAGATACGGGAATAGGAAGAAACATAGGCTCACTGTCACTTCTGGTAGCTGCTGTCCACCTGTAAAATGAAACCTCACACTCATTTGAATTGTATCAGATCTTACTTGGTTCAGCTGCAACAGTGAAGACCAGCGAAGCAGTTTGACCTAGCAGCTACACAGAGATCTAACTTAGCTGCAAAACCATTAAGAGACCAGAAAAGAATACATTCTTACAAAGCAGAAGTCAGAGCCAGTACTCAGTCACAGCAGACCCCTAAATCAAGTGGAAAGCCAGTCACAGCACACCCTGTGTGGCACTGCTCAGGGTATGAAACAGCAAAACTGGACCCTGAATGAAACCAACATTATGTGTGCTGTGTGCACACAAGTCTGGAAAATAAGAATACACCAAGGCATTTGTCTATGTTACTTTTATGCCGTTGCAAGTTTGATCAGAAAACCAGCAATTCCACATCACTGGTAAAGACAATCTTTTTGGTCAGGCAAGATTTTGTTTTTTTTTTTGGTGTTGGTGTTTTTTTATTTTATTTTTTTTACTTTACAAGCTCATCTTTAAAAAGTTCTCCAATAATGCTAGCAGCCAGTATTCCTCTGAACAGCAATAAATGTGTAATCACACAGATTTTCTGACTGCCCCCTACACACCATGCTTGTTCCAAGCAATAAAACATACCCAGTGTCTCTAGAATGCTGTGAGAACTAGAAGAACAAACTGAGTCTTTCATTTTACTTACTTTGTGTTTACCGAAGTTGCCCATTAATGATCGACTATGAGACTTTTTTCCACCTTCTTTTACATCCAGGTTCTGTGCAGAGAAAGGGCAATAAGAAGTGTAACTAGATACCTTCAGAAGCATCCCTAAAGAGACTGCTACAGTCTCTAAAAGACATCATTTCTACCTAATGTAAGTTTTTGCATGTCACCCTGATTCACTATTAGAAAAGTACAGTGATTCCAAGTGAGAATAAAAGTGAGTTAAAGTCTAAACTGCAACATACTGATCTGTGACCATAAACTGAAATCCAAGATCTTCACAGGACTTCTCTAATATGCTTATATAATTGATAGCTTAGCAACCCTCTAGCATTAAGGAAAAATATTGACACTTAAGACAACAACCAACCATGTACAAAAAGCAGTCTAGCAAAAACAAGCAAGCAACAACAAAACACATTTGAAAGCGCACTTGAAAACAATCACAAAGGGAAAAAAAAAAAAATCTAGCAGATAAATGTGGACTTTTCATAGGTAGCGTGAAGTCTGAGTTTCATATTTATAGCCATGCCCCTAGACACAAATTTGATAATCCCAAGCAGCACCTAGTTTTTTCTGTCAGAAAAGCACATTCCTTCCTCTTCTAAAAAGCAAAACAAAGACCTAAAGGTGCTGAAGAATATTTCCCCAGGGTTTCAGCAATTCCTATGAATTCCAATTATTCCCTGTTCAGTGTTGAGTTGGAATTCGCTTCCGACTACTGTCGTGGTAAGGGCACTACATCCAAGGAGGTCAACAGCCTCTGTATCTATGTTCAAAGATTTGTTCCTAGCTCAGGATGAAAGTCTCTGTAAAACGCTGAATGAAACTTCAGCAGACAAAGTGCTTTTCTCCCTCAGATAAGGGTGAGAGTTGACAATTTCAACAGCAAACTGAAACTAGTATCAGGCCTGACAGTAAGTATTGTACACACTGCTTGCTTACCTTGCTCACCTACCCCCAGAACCCACTTGGTAATTACTGGCGATGAGCACATAAAACTTGCGATAAAGGAAAATGAGATCTGACCACCAAAAAGTGGAAAAAATTCCCAACAGATCCCATTTTGGTACATCAATTACAAACTACTAGAAAAAAGCTTTACAACACCACCAAAGCTAGCTAATGAGTTAGACAATTACCAAGCCACCAAAGTGTTTAACCAGTTAGCTTCCTCCCACCTAAGTCAACAGTGGCTATAAATTATTCTTATTATTGTTTTAACTATTAATTGTTCAGCTCTGTATTGCTATAAGACCCTTGAAAAGAGTCATGTACAATCAATCTTCACACAGGATTGCTGCAGCAAGAGATCTAATAATTTCAAATGTCAGTTAGAAAATTCTATCATTTAATATTATTACCTGACAGATATCTGAATAATGCACTTGTATTACTAAAGTATTTTCAGTACTTTTATCACATCAATGACATGTAATGGGTAATCTCATTCATCATATCCAACATCAACACCTTATAGAAATTTGCATTCTCTAAACAAAACTTCTTACCCCTTCAAAAGCTATCTAGGGGCCAATAATTTTCCAGACATCAGAGAACACAGCAAATGTAATTTTAACACAAAGTAGCATTGAAATGACTCATATATAATCATATTTACTAACACAGGGAGTTTGCTCTCTGAAATCCCACTTTTCTGACCTCATGAAGGCCAAAGGGAACAAGCAATCTGACTGTTCTCAGGCTGCAAAGCCAAAGTCTGAAAATAACCCTTCTCTGTCATGTCAGATTGTTTTGTCCTCTGCACTCTTACAGCCTCTTCCCACCACAACACAGGTTTTACAGATGTCTCGAGCATCAGCACAAGCCGAGCATGTTTGCTGTAGTCAAGCCTGGCTCCAGGCAAAAGTCTCATAGGTCCAGCCTTGGAGAAAGATTGATGAGAACTACATAAGCTCTAAAGAGTGGGAAGACATGCAGGAAGCAGAGCTACTTGACCTTTAAGACTACACCTCTTACAGAGTAGGCACTCCCACACAACAATTCACTCAGTATTTAACCCAGGTTTGCATACAATTGAGGTACAAGTATGGTATCCGTGGATTCAAGGTGCTGTTTACTGACGTAGTCAAAATTCTGATACATTTTATTGTTTTACAAAAGTAGTTTGATGTCAAAAGGGAAAAGAAAACCTGCCCTTTTTGATCTGAAACAGTCTCAAAGTCATGAAAAAACCCAGCCTTTCTTTCATCCATTGGCATTACAGGCAGAGAACACTTTCTGTTATTACAGCCAGACTTCCTAAGACTAAGGCAACAGAAAAAGGATCTTTCTAGACACCAACTGAATTGCTTGATACATGCTTGCAATTGGTACTTAACCGCAGTGGTTGCTTCCAAGTGTCACAAGGAGTAAACCCGATTAGAAAACATTGAAGCAACATACTCTTCACATTTGACCAAATTCTCTTCTTAGGTATTTCCCTAAAATAGTTCCAAGTTTTTGCTTTTTGGACAAAGCAAACTTTCAGAAGCTGTTTAAAATGTATCAGTTTTCTCATCTGAAAAATGTGTAATACACATTGTGCTCTCTTAATATTGAACAGAGCATATGAAAGGGAAAAACCCACATACCTGCTTCAGGTTAACATTTAAACCCTCATGAGTTGCCTTTAGTAGGGCTCTCACAGTGAAGCTGTCAGGATCTTCTTTGTCCCTGATTTGGGATTCTTTTATTAGAGATTCCAGTTTTGTTCTTATAAAAGATTCCACCTGGTGCTCAGTTGCACCATTACTCTGAAAGAAATCCAGTTAAAGTAGATTATTATGTCCATCGCTTCTGGAACAGCCTGAGGAAGCATTACACACGTTTTGGGCAACACAACACTACGAACATTTTCTCTGTGCAAGAAGAAGCTTCTTGTATAATTCTGTCTTGCATAACCTTGCCTTTTTATTATCACTTTTACAGCCCTTTCCATTCTCCTTTTTCTTTTTAGTCCTCCTGACGCAACTTACGCTGCCACACCAAATCACAGTCCACCACGTAGAACGCCCAGAACCTGGCCCTGGTGTTAGCAATTTCTTTCAAAACTGTCACAAGTCTGATCTTCTCTCTCAGATGATGACAAGCTAATGCACTTACCTACTTCCTCCAAAATACCAGACAACCCAAGCATCGTTATACTTTGGCTCCAAACAGTAAGAAAGAGGAGTTAACATCACTCATATGTACTATACAGACAGAAACCAGTCTCTTACATAAGGTGCCTAAAATAAAAATGGATCTTGTAGAACAGTGTGCACTTAGCATCCCTTTGTCACTGAGGTGGGAGACCTCTCTTGAGAAAGGAGAGGATAGCAACTGTTCTGTCCTAACACATTCCATTTCTAACCCCAAAATATATACATACTGTGTTCTGCATTGGCTTTAAGGATTGCCAAATTTGTCATAGATCTTTCTGTTAAAGAAACCATAATCTTATCAGAAGTGCTGAAGCCACATTAGTAAAGTATACATGGATTACACAGACTGCTCCTTTGAACAGCACATTGGTTTCAGGCCTTACATTGGTTTCAGAACCAGTAGAGCAATCTCATCTCACTACACCCATAATGAGAGTTATGTTCTTTCAATATATACTTTTTCCTTGAACTTAAACCTGCAGAATTTTGTAGCTGTACTTAAAATCAATCATATTCCTAAAGATTTATGGAATTGGGAGTCTTCAAGCTTCCCCATAAATTAATACCAAATATTTCCAATACTGTAGTAAATACCAACAAAAATATAACATTCCAAGTCATGGAGCAAGCTAAACACTAGACTTGCCAAGTGCTAATTTGAATTCTTTCAAATCAATTCTTTCTATGTCTCCCTAGATAGCATTTTCTTTGTTCAAAAGTTTTAACTGGTGAAGCAAGGCTGTCTCCTGACTAGTAAAAAAAAACACTTGCTGGATAATGCACACCAGTTTCAGCTTGTAGCAAAAAATATGTTAATAAAATTAACAGCAGAAAAATAAATGAAGAGTTAAGAAAGCAAACAGAAATCAATCTTCTGTATCAAAAAATAAGAAAAAGAAGGATTGAAAATGAACCTCATATTTGTTTCACTTGTATGTCTCAATTTTCATCTAGCAATTGTGTAGCAAATCCATCATGCCATTGCTTTAAGTACTACACATTTGTATCTGAAAAAAGCCTAGCAAGCTTGCAAGTGCTGGCATCAATGCTTACAGTCTAGTGTACCTGAATTATTTAAATCCTTTATTTATATGATTTAAAAGACAAAGTGTGCATTTCCAAACAACGTAACTCCATATCTAAATGTGAAATTATATAACTTCTTTATCTTAAGGGCCTGACTTAAAAATCACAGTTAAAAACTCATCTGCTAACAACTACGTAGGATTATAGAGTATGCATTGTAGAGTTATAACAGTTCTAGGAACTGTATAAATGCACATACATAGCTAGGCTTTAATTTGCAGTCATCTTCAATTTCATCAGCACTATCCTCATCTGAAACTTCTCCTTCCTCAGCATCTGGCCCGAGACTGCAAGGCAACTTTTTACCCTAAAATGAGGAAAAAAAATATTCACAATAAATGCACACATGGACAGTTTTATTTAATGCAAAGACCAAAACAGCCCATTCCTCAACTATTCCTTATTTTAATTATGGCCACAGTCTGGAAATTGTTTTCAGAGAGTCTCATGCAAACTGGTTCAAGGACCTAGATTATCACAGGTGATATTTTAAGATTTTCTGGAAGAGTTTCTTACTGGAAGATCTTTGCAAGCTCTTTCAAAAAAGTGTATCATCTCCCATGTCTGGAGAAAGCAAGCAAGGGTCCAAAAGATTTTTTTCAGTTAACTTTCAGATATTTCAGACTTACTCCTAGCAAGCAGACGACTGTATATTTAACATTTTAAAAAAAAAGTCACAAGCTGAGATTTTGTTATAGGTTCCTCATAAGAATAGAAAACACAGACACAAAAGAAGTCACTGCAAGCACCCATCAACATGAAGGAAGCAGCAAAGCCAAAACCTATTTTAATATTGCATGCTCAGGCAAGAGTATAGTCAGCAGTCCAAAATTAGATGCTAATCCAGTACTGTGAATGTCGTATATCTACATTAGAAAGGAACTACTTTAACTCCATGTCTAGTTTCCAACAACTGATTAGAGTGGTGAGCATCAAACAGAGGTTACTGGCTACTTACAGTAAAAAAAACAAATGCTCTGACAGATTAGTTTTGCTTTTTAGAGCATTAATCTTTGATTTTGCTGTTTCATGACTTACAGTGAAGTGCAGTCACAGAACCTTAGAAATGTTGGCTATGGGAGCTCTGAATGTCTTTGGTCCAATCTCCCAGTAAAGGAGGATCATTACCAGCTCTCGTCGAGCTTTCCTTTGCCACGTCTTGCAAACTTTCAAAGGTGGAGACTCCCCTGGCCTTCTGCACAGTCTCTTTCCATGCTGCACTACTATCAGCTGAAAAAGCTTTTCCTGGCATCCAATCTGCCCCTCCCAAGCTGTAACTTGTGGCCACTGCCTCTTGCTTTACCATCTGCTACTTAATAAATTACCTATTAAACTTTTGAGTTATTACTTCTATGTGTGTCTTTCTCACTGACTGCAGAAATGTTCACAGTCTGTTTCATCAGTGGCAGAGGTAGACAGGAATTATACCCAGTTTTCTGCAGAAATAGATTGATTTCTGGCTGCATTTCGAAATTAATAATGCTACCGCTAACGAGTAGGTCAAATTCACTACACACTGTCACCTTTAATACTGGCTTAAATCTGTGAGTATTATTACAATTACTCTTTATATACACTAGCAGAATGAAAATTATGCCATTACTCAAAATTGTTTGGCTAATGAATCAAAACTGCCTTTCAAAGTAAAACGCAAACCCCAGCAAAAATAATGGCAAAATATGAGAAACTGGTTAGTTCTCAACAGGATGCTGATTCTTAAATATGATTTTATCTTTTCCGAGAGGGCTGCTTAAATTGAGAAGGAGATGGGAGACAGGGCTTTGTGAAAAGATACTGTGATGCTTAAAATAGCATTCCTTATTCTCTAAACATTAGCTCAGCTCCATACTATTTTGTAACAGCTCATGGGGTTTCAGCACTGTCAACTGAAGAATTAAACTGAAGTTACAAACTCAGGTGTACTACAAAAACCATCTCAAATTTTCATGTAAGAGCTGCACAGTATCAAACCTCTTCTGTTTTTTTCTGCATTGACATCGTATTTCAAGCCAGGTGTGCCAGGTTTTGTCACACGACTGACATTACGTACTGTTTAGTTTGACTCTCTAAAACACCAACACTGCATGCTTGCATAGTTTATTAACTAGCAGTTACACATGAAAACTGATTCAGTAAAGCACGTAAAGGTCTTCTAATTCAGAATCAGCTTTGCACTACACATTGAAATATGTCCAAACTAACATCAAACCAGAATTGTGAATCCTGGTAGCCAGCTTGATATAGAGGACAGAGGGGGGGAAAAAAAAAAGTATCTCAAGAGCTCACAACAAAGTAATTGCTCTCATGTGTCAAAGTAAATTTGACAGTCTGATAAGCCACAACTCTATTAATCACCCTCTCAAAGATCTGCCTTGCATTTCTTTCTTATTATATCCATCTCAGTCTTCGAAATTCCTTTCAGAGCAAACCCATTTATACTGAGAGGTTCAAACAATTAATCTTGCATACAACACTAACTTCAGTGCTCCAGGGCCTCCTCCTCCTTCACTGTTCCTTACAGCTACCTTCTGAAGTGCTCTTCTTTCATAAACACAGCTGATGAACCGTGAAAATAGTTTCATTTCATGAACTACTGCTCAAAGCAAGATGAGGGGGAAATGCGAGAAAACACAAGAAATTTTGAGATGCTTTTGTATTACTCCAAAATATGAGTATCAAGAAGGAACTGTAGGGTAATGTTTAGATGCTATAGGGATCTGAACCATACAGAACAATATCCACTAATAACAGGCCAGACAAATTTAAACAAATTAAAAATAAAAAAAAAAAAAAAGGAAAATACCAGGTTCAGATAACTGTCACAGTTTGTTTTATTCATCTTGATGGATTTTATGTCATTTTTCTGCTCTCCTGACATGGTGCTAAGGTTTAAAAATAAGCACCTTTTTCTTTAAGACTCTCAGGTAAGATGCTCAAAAAATAGGAAGAATTTTCTTTCCACTGCTCTTGATATCACCTCCCTGTTGAAACACCTACAAAAGTACTTTGGAACCCTTGCCAAGTCCAAGGTGAACTCAGTTTGAGTGCCTCTGAAAAGCTCAGAATTTTAACTCACTTACTACATCTGTACTATTCTACATGATACTGCTGAACTAGATCTCTAAAGCCAAAGAAAATATACAGTAAATAGCACAATAAATATTACTCTTTTTTTTGCATTTTGAACACACCACCAGTAGCAAGTTACCTTCACTAGAATTTTCCCTTTCAAATTTTGAGGGCTAGGAAGTTGTCTGTAATCTGCAGTGACTACAGATGACAAGTCCAGTTTGTCACCAAATATCTCCTTCATGTACTGAGCAATCTTCTTTTGCTGCTGAATACTGCAATGGTTTTCAATAGATAGTATCACCGGAAACCTAGAAGCAAAAACCCCAGATATTGTCATAACTGTTTTAAGAGAGAAGACCTGCACAGCTTGCCATGTAAACTTTTTTTACAGTTTGCTTTTGCATTGTTAGTAGTCTGGAAACAAACTCACTTTGGAAAGAAGGACTTTACACATGAACTCCCAAATCTGTGTTCTGTCAGAATCCCTTGGACAGTCCCTGCAGGCGATTCTGCTCTTTTACTCCAACCCTACCCACTAGCACACAGGATGACAAAGTTTGAAAGTGATGATCACCAAGCATGAGGCACAGAGAAATTTGCAATAAAGCTCATCAGCAACAGAATGCCTTGCTGTTCTATCTAACTGAGCAGAAGGTACGTTACTCCTTTGCAAGCCATGAACAAAGTCTTTGTAAGCTCTAAGTGACCAGCAAGATGCTCCTGAAGAAAAATGTTCTGGAATCAAAAGATCCAAGGCTCCAGTAACTTACAGCTGAAGTTTCCTTAGGTAAGGACATTCCACAAATTTGCCTTGTTGTTTTCTAAACTCTTGGCAGCCCCAGAATTCTACGGCAAGGAATCCTCAGTGCCAACTACACCTCAAATAAAGAACCACCTCCTTCAGTTTTGAAATCCCCATCTCCTGTTTCTAATCGGTAACACCAAACTTTTGGGCTTGAGTATTTTGTTTGTTGGTTGGGAATTTTTTTGCCTCCCCCTGCCTCCTGCCCTTTTTTTTTTTTTAATAAGAGAATGTAAGCATTTCCCCTTTATTCTCTCTAAAATACTCAAAATTCTATACTCATGACCTAAGACTGCTGGATATATGTGGTTAAACTCCATGATTTTCATAATAAACTGTTACATATTACCATGGTAAACAAAATAGAATCTGAACATTACCCCACATCTCAGTATTTTCTCATGCTATATATGAGATAGTTTCTCAATTTTCCTACTAAAATGAAGCATTTTCCTTACATAGAGAATATACTGATTTTTAAGAATAATTTCCCTGTGGATATGAGTGGGAAGTTCTGTTCAAAGATATTCAACAGTTTCAGACTGTTCAAAACATTACTGAGTTTACAATGCAAGAAAGGTCTTTCTAACTTAGAACGAACATTCTAACTTGATTGATGGAAACAGCTCGTGCAGTTGAACAATAAATATGACAAACGGGAACAGAACCAAATTTATAATTTTTCAGTGTGTTTTAAGGAATATTCGTACTTCCTGACATTGACTGTTGATTTAGACATGGGATTAACTACACAAACCAGACATGTAGCTTCAAAACTCACTCTACACTTACTCGTTTTTGATGAAGGCGTATTTATTGATAGTTTCTGCCACATCACGGAAAAGTATTTTAGAAGTAAGAGTGTAACCATGGTGCACTACCGGCTCTCCATCTGGACCATCCCAGCAGTCCACTATTAGGAAAGAAAAAGCTATACATTAAGAGATGCCCATGATCTGATACATTTCTGCTGATCTTGCTTGCCAGCAGAACTGGCAATAATAGGTACACTACCCAAACATGCAGGTGTCAAGAAATTCATTCAATTTATTATGACCTACCAATTGAATTAACACTAACAAACCAGGTTTTTTTCTTACACCAAATGAGAAATATGTAACCTAAATTAGTTTTTTTCCCCTTATATTAAGCAGAGGTTTTTTCCCTTATATATAAAATTATAAAGGTGTGATAGGCAAATAACATTTACAGCTATCTCTTGGGAAAGCAGCTTCTGCTTCTGAAAGACAGACTATTTAAAAAGAATTTAGTCTTTTTCCATGCCCAATTAAGCATGCAGTTTTATAACTGACTACAGTAAAAGTAGCATCAAATCCATAATACGTAGAATGGATTAGGACAGTAATACTTCTCCTAATGAATTATCCTGGATTCACACCAACCTTGTTACTACTGTTGCCTCTATAGGAAGTCAAGAGCTTCACAAAGAGAAGCCACAGAGCTATTAGCTAGGCTGTATAGAGCCCACAACAGTTTTGAGATCAAACAAAATAGCATGCTACTCTGTGTTCTGGTGAACTTTCCTACAAAAGTGAAAGTACAGTGGTAGATTGCCCAATCTTCTCAGGTTCACTTTCTCTAATTAATTTCTAAATTCAGAATAACTTTTTTTTTTCTAGAGATGAGTTTTGCAGTATTAGTTCTAAAAAATTTGTCAAAAGACTTTATTCTACCCAGGATCCTGAAAACAAAATGCTAATGTTTTATTTAAATCATGCAGAACTTAAACAAGAATCCAACACACTCTCTAGGCTATCAAACAGCATCTTGTTTTAATCCATCAGCATTAAGCCAATGAAACTGCATCCCACCTCTCCATTGTGGCAGACAAAAGCTAAGTTTCTCAGCTCTAAGATGGTGACAGAAGTAGATACTCAGCTGTGCTGACAGAATGCACTGTTTGCTCACCTGTCCTCCTCCTCCAGGCACCTTTCATCTTCCCTTTGCATCCACGGGAGGAACTGCATATGCAAACACCCACTTTCCCATTCAGCTTGTGAAACAAAAAGGTCTTTGCTAGTTTAGCTCATTCTGAACAATGTGGATTTGGAAGCTGTTCTGTGATGCACAGAGGACCTGCAGAGCAGAACACCCAGGCCTGCTCTGCTGGAGCTGCAGGTTCCCAGACAGGTGCCTGCCCATTGCCTTACTGGAACTTGTGCCACAAAAAAATATGCTTTACACAAATTCAGGGCAATGGAAGACTTGCACTGGCTGAGAAAAGCAGAACACAGCAGCAGGCAGGAGAAAACTGTGGTGTCTGTGATGTTTGAGATTGTCATCCCCAATAGGAAAATTCTGTTTAGACAGCTAGAAAACAAGAGTTTACTATTTAAGGTAATCAGACAGTGAAGCATTAATGCTTTGAATTTGCCACTGACTTTGTGCTCATAAGAAATATCCACCATACTTCCCAGAGCCAGCAAGTTACACTAAAAATATACCTTCAACACATCGACAACCATCTTGCAGCACTCGTGCATACATCTCCACTCTGGACTGGGACAGCAGTTGGTCTCCCGTCAGGTATGTATTGTGAGATGAAGCAATAAAGTAGTTACAAAGGGGTTGATCCATATCCTGGTGCACTTCGCAGTGCAGCGGATTAAATATATCGCAAGCAGGACTGCGCATGAAATTGGTGAAACCTTTGAACAAAGAGAAACAGTTTTGCAATAGATGCAGTACATATTTGCCAAGCAAATGATTTGCACTGTAACATTTATTTTTTTCTCTTTATGCTTGTCTGTGCTTGTGGTCTCCAAAACCACATCACAGGGATTATTTTCCTGTACCCTGTGTTTTCAACATATTAACTCCTGCCTGTGACTTGCTTGGATCTTTGCAAACTGAAGATGCTGCACAGACTCAGTCCACTGGTGGCAGACACACAGGTATTTCTTTTTGAAGCCTATAGAAGTTCTGACACCTTTGACAAGTATACATTCCCAAGATCCAACCCAGACAATTTTCAAACAGCTTTGAACTAGAAGAGCAAATATAATCTAGAAAGACACATTTATGACTTCTCTGAAAAATAAAAATCAAGCATTTGCAAAATGTCACATTGAGCTAAGTCTCTTTAGAAATTAATTAACAACTAATAGTGAAAAACAAAATAGGATTCTAAGAGAAACATAAAAAGTAAAGAACAGTAGCTATATGAGAAGGCTGAAAACGAGACAGATAGATATGGCCACTGGCCAACCTATTTTCAGATCAGATGTTTCATTCAGACTCTCAAAAGGGGCAGATGACAAAAACACACATGTAAAAATTCTATGAAACCCTGACAAGCCTACACCAAATCCAGTGCATGGACAAACAAGTGTGCTCCAGCTGCCTTCTGCAGTTCAGACAAAACCACTCCACTATTAAGTGGAACAGAAGAATCTGTTACTGATTCTGTTAGAACTGGTGGAAGAAAATATCCTCCCTCACCATTATTCAGTGAGATAAAAATGATCTCTTCATCTAGATGCTATGTAAGCAGCTAAACCACGAGTCATTACTGCTACAAAAACTGTCTTTTCCTTCCCCTTCTTCTCAAACTGGTATCCCTTACGCCCTCATGATCCTTGTTAAAGCATCAGTATAACCGAGAAATTGGGTCAAATGCTTCAGCAGCATCAGTCTGCATTTCCTGGGACGATGAATTGTGCCTTGGAGGGCAAGTGATTTGCTTGCTAGGAATGTAGATGGGAAGGTGGGAGGGGGGGAGGAACCTCAGCCTCACTTTCAGCAGGATGCAAAGAATTTGACATGTGCACCATCTTTCCCTCAATGGACCCTTGTGATGGTAGCAGGTAAAAGCTATTCTGTTCTGCTCTGTCACAAGTGTAATGTATCGTAAATAAGAGGAAGCAGAGGAAATCCCTCAAATACTGGGCAGCAGAAGAAACAAAGGTTATGACACCTGCAAGAGTATAGTTTTGGTATCCTGCAGAGCTGCCAGGACTTCATGATGCTGGTAATGCTCCATGGGTCCCAAGTTGAGAAGTTATCTTCAGAAAGCACAACAGTGTCAAGAACAAAACAAAATAACACACTTTTATCGAAGTGAAATTGTCAGATCTTTCTTATACAGATCACAGGACAGAAGTGGGAGTTAGACTGACATCCTGACTTTGAAGCAAATGCTTCCTTTCCATCCTTTCCCCCCCTCCCTGAGTTTATTGCTGACTCTGCCCCAGTGACACTCCTTTAGTGTAAGCACTACCCTGACTGAATATAATATGTAGACAAGGTAGCACCACCCAAACAGCTACACTGCAGTGCAGGGAGCACAGGGCCCATGCTAGCCAACTCAAACATCTAGCTAATTTCACTATAATTTACAGTTTTCCCTATGCTTCAAGTTTATCTGAGAAGATGGTAGTTGGTTTATACTTCTGTAAATCAGCTTTTAGATAGATAAAGTTTTAAAAATACCTCCTTTGAGACAGAGAAATATAAAATATTACAAAAGGATAGTGCAAACAACACTAACCCTGAAAGCAGCTCAAACACAAAAGCAGCAGCAGTAAGGTTAAGAGGAACAGGAATGCTTTCAGAAATATTTGTTATCTAAGTGCATGGCTTGTTCATTTTGCTATCCTCACTTCAGTTCAAGTGCGGTGCCCTGGGTCACACCAGAGGCTTGTTTAAGATCTGGAAGGTTATACAGAGGATTTAAGTACCACCTGAAAGAATTCTCCTTCCCCCACCCCAAAGTCACCATTTAAATTATGCTGCTTCATGGAAAGCTGTCTTCTGGGCAAATTAACACACCATGGCATTTAATCTATTTCATGCCAGTTCAGATTTTCATTTGATTCCAACCTGGGTTCTGAACAAATAAACCATTTAGAATTGCTTTAGCAAACGAGATCAATAAGGTTTTCAAACCCAAAGAAAATGCAACTACCCGTATTTAATTTCATCTGCTTATTTCACATAAGCATAAATCAATGGATTGTACAGGAGCAATTCCAAACCTGCAAAGACAGAGCAGAATGGAAACTTCGCTTTTATTGCTGCAGTTGCGAGCAAGATGTGGTATAAATCACATGGTATAGAATGTTTTACATTTGTGTTTTACAAATACTCAGCAACAAATTCATTCAAGCCCAAGGCATTCACATTACTGTCTGATGCTTATGATGTATCACTGTATAATACTAACTGCTAATTCACCCCACCTACTCTCATCTCTGCCGTGTCCCACAAAAAAGCACCTCCACCACTGATCAGACTGCTAATCTACATAACATCCTATCACAGGACATTTTGGCTACACTAGAACACGGTTAAAGCTTTTCCATTCCACTACATTATATAGAGACAAAGATAATTTTGAAATCAAAACCTTTACCTTCAATCCCAAGAACATTCTGTTTCTTGTTTTCTTCTGATACTTCAAACTTCTGTATGATGTCAAGACAATATTCTGGTGTCACATTATTCATCTGCACAAAAAAAAACCAGCATCGGTGCACTTACGTTAAATACCATGTCACCAGCATGTCAAACCTTACTTCAGGCTTCTGGGTTCAGTTGAAAAAACTTATGATCAAATTGAGATCAGTCAAATATGAGTAAGAGAGTCAGTAACACTACTGTAAAAGACTTGTATGATTTTGATTTTATTTCTGGCACAAGCCTCATGGCTCTTATCTTTGAGGATAAAAATAGGAGAGGTAGCAATCACTTAAAAGGTGTGTCATTGTAATTTAAAGATTAAAATAAACTGTTAAGCACACTTACTATTTGTACTGGGCAATACTGATGAAATGAGAACTATGAAGCTATATTCTTTAATATAATCCACTTAAACATGCAAAAAAAATTTGTCAGGGTTTGATTTCATTTTCATGTATTTTCCGCTTCTGTGATTTCATTACTTCCAGGAGTGTTCACTATAACACACAGGCTGAGATAAATAATTAGATCCTGAAAAGAAAACCAGCAGTTCTTCTGAAACAAGAGTTTTGTCATCAGCTTCAACTAGCCAGCCGCTTAAGTCCTACCTGACTAGTGTGGTCAAAGTATCACCATATACTTCTATTTCCTTTAATTTTAAAGGAAAGTAGCAGCTTTTGTTGCTCAGCTCTTCTCTTGTCACACCACCCTGAAGGTGCATAGAACCAAAGTGAGAAATACAACTGGGTGTATTTCATTTCCTCCAATAATAATATCACAGGATGACAATGACAACACTAAAACCTTTGGCAGCTTATTTATATCATTATTCTGTTTACTGGTTGTACTCAGCATCCTTTGTCAAAGTCAGCTCAAATGCCCAGACGTGCAGACAGTCTGGAAGCACAGGAACATGCAGTTCCCCCTCTCAGATACTGTGTTGCCTCTGTTAACATGACTGCTTCAGGCAGAGACAGAAGTGAAGTTAGTCATCATGCAGGTTACACAGTATTTATTGTTTTAAATTTGAAAACAGTCTCTCTGTGAACTGTTCTTACTAATGGACTTCTCTTTCAGATGGCAACATCAATTTTATTTACACTGCTCTCTATGTGGCCTTTGATGAATTTGTGCTTTCCATTATTTCCTGTAGCTCGGGATTCCCAGTAACAGCATTCAGCTATATGGAAATCTAGAACTATGTTGACTCTCTCAATCTCACTTTCTCTAAAGGCCCAATCCTGCCAAGTGCTGGGTTCCTCTTAAGAAATTTGGATGCCATGCCTGACCATATTTCATAACAACTAAAAGGCTATGGCCTAAGTATGAAAAGTTACCAGAGGAGGTGAAAAACTAGGTATGTCAATGTTAGTAGTAACAGAAGGCAAGCATGTGAACACTTCAGCTTGAGTTGCCATGTGAGTTGAGAGACATAGAGCTATTTTCTAGCCTTTCTGCCCTTTGCCCTTGCCTCTGTTTTACTCTTGCACAGGGAAAGCATGGCTTGGCCCATCTCCTTCTCCAAACATTTATATCTCCTAGCTAAGCCAAAAATCATGAGACGCCTGCAGGATTTACACAGGATTACAGGAAAAAGAACAATTCAGTAGGAAAAAACCCAACTGATTATCTTAGCTCAAGTAACTGTTGCTGTTTGATTGCAAACACTATTCATAGCAGGCCATTCTTCAGCATGAGCTGGCTAGAAATAAAGTTTTCATTATCCCGTATGGCTCCTTGATGGCTGAATGGCAGCATACTTGTGTGCTCTAAGAATGAAAATGTCTAATCTAGTCCAAAGCTGCATCTGCTAGGGAAAAGCCCACTGATTCATGCTTTTTAACTGGAGATTGAGAGATGATAACTTAGGCTACTCATTTAAATTTGTTTTCATTAAGTTTTAAAGTATTCCACTAAAATTAATATAAAATAGCAATAATTGTTATCAATAACTGAATATTTAGATACATGAATTATTGAAGATGGCCGACAGCAGTATTTCCAAAATCTCTTGAATACATAGCTACTTTTTATGTTCCTGGCTAAATGCTTTAGTTTTGATGGAGATATCTCCTTTACAAGATCATCAGCCTTTGAACAGCCAATAAGACTTTGTTTTTAACTAAATGAACTCCCAATTAATTTTCCTAAAATAAGATCCTACAGAACTACAAAAAAAAAAAACAACATTATCCCTAATCTTCAGTGTAGAAGTATGAGAAAGAAGAGGGAACTCACTTTTGATTTCACCAATCTGACTGGATGCTGAAAGTCTAATGCTATCTGAAGGTGCAAAGCCCTGCAATGTGAAGTAATAGGAGAGACCTCCTCTGCCAAAGTCCCACAAGTTAAGAATGTGAATTGTTCTCATTTCCCATTCTCACAGGAAGGAAAGTGGGAGAAGGGAATGTAAAGTAGAAGGGAAGTTATGAAAAAAAAAGGAGAAGTTAGAAAAGCAGCACAATGCTAATAACAGGTATTCCTAGACAGGATGCCAACCCACCAGGCACGTCTAAAGTACTGTAATGGTTTAGGCTTTAGTTGCTCAGTTATTTATTCTGTAAGAAAAGTCAAAATATAAATAATCAAAGCCATTCTTCCAATTTCAGTGCAAGATGTCAATGTAAGATGTCATGACGTACTGGGTCACCACATAAATCTGTTATAGTGATTATCTTTTTGTGTGAGAGAGGGAGGAAGGCATCATCTTGCTTTCCAATCAAGAGTTTGTGTTGCCATAGAGGGGTTTTTGGTGGTGGCTTTGTTTTTTTTGTTTTGGAAAGCAGTAAGGATTGACTAGGCATGATAGTCTGATATTGTATTCTTTACCTGATAGTAACAAGCTCTACAGTTTCTCCTGTTTTTAAAGTCTGTGCACCAACACTGATATTCTTATCAGTTCCCTATTCCTTTTGGGATACTGGCTCCTAATATCCTTCCGCACACACCGTTTCAGATCATAGCCTGACACATACAGACAAACCCTGGTATATACTATCTCATTATATCCCTTTAAAACACCTCCCAAGAGAGCACATACAGTTATTTCAAAATATTCATTTTCTAAAAGTGTACTTAATCACCATTTTTTACCACTTTTTGTCACATTTTCACTATTCACCACATCCCTAGTTATTCCTGTGATACTATAATTAGTGTAGAGAAGTAACAAGAGGAAAATTACTCTCTCAAGAAGGCTTAACTCAAAATGCAGTAGCCCATACTGAATAATTAACAAAAAGCTTTACATAATTATATGTGCATGTTCCGAGGGTGTAACTGTTACAAAATTGCTTCCTTTTTAGCTCAATTAAAATGAACAGAGGCATTCATTTTTGTCATCAGTTTCTTTTGGGCTGCATATAACAGCTGCCCTTTTAACCACAGAAGATACCAGTTTGGTACCAATATGGTGCCACAGTATTAACAAGTCCACCTGATTCTTGTCACCTGGGAGCATAACAGGGCACATCATTCAATATGAAGCACTTTCTTGGAGCATGCAGAGAATGCTGCTGTAGGCAAATTCTCAGCAGGCTGCCCTTATTTTCAGGACAGAGGAACACTGTATTGCAAAGTAACTGATCCAAGTGGCAAGCAGGCACATGGGGAAACTTCACTCTCAGGAAATCAAAACTAAATATTTCATGTTTGTAACACGAACCTTGTAACTGCATAAAACCATCAGCACAAGAATCAAAAAGGTCTCTGCTATGACTGAAATAAAAGCACTTGATGTGCTGTGAGTGCAGCAGAAACACAGAGGAAGAGCAGTCACACAACAGCTGTCTGAACATTTTTTTCCTATGCTTGGATATATTTAAATGGTCATATATATGCCTGCCTAGTATTCCCATACCTTTTGTTCCACCTTTAGAAACTGAGCAAGTTCTTCAACAGTGAGGTGATCCTTCTTGTCACTGTAACTTAAGAGCAGTAAGTAGAGATCTCGACGTAAGGACATCATCTTGTAAAACACTGAAAATTCTTCAAAATTTAGGGTTCCCTGGTTCTCATCTGTGTCTGCTTCCTAAGAGGTAAAGAAACTCAGATAAGCATGCTAAACACAGGTGAATTCAGGGAACAAAGCAGAACAGGTTTTACATAGACAACAGAAATCTAGTAAATTCTAGTCTGCAAGATTCTGTTCAGACACAAATTCCAGTGGCAAAAATAACTGCAAAATTATAGTACCATCTATTGGATTTTTTTTTTGTGAAAACAGTTGCCACACTAAAACTACAGGTGTCTTATGAAAGACTCAATTCCATCCTTAGTTTTGAATTTGTTACCCCTGTTAAGAGGCTCACTTGGGGCTTTATTCTGATCTCTGTTACTCTCTTTTATGCCCTGCAGCTATCCTGGATTAAAACATAGTAAGGAACCTAATAATTTCTCACATGGCTTCCCCAAACAACAGGGTCTCAGATTTGAAAGCATTCAGGACAATATCAGAGTCTTATATGGTAATCCAAACTACAACACACTCAGCCCCCTGTCAGCACTCTGTAGAGGGGACAAGTCTGCAGCAGCAATAAGATACCACAAATGCCAAATAGCCTGAGTCTTGATGGCAGGTTTTGTTTATCCTCAGAGGTACAAAGAGAAGAAAACAGTACTTAAAGCATGTTAATACAAGCTTTTCACTGTGAACATCTGCCTAAGAGGATTTCTTTGGATTTTCAAAACAAACAATATATTCTGGAGAACTGCTGTCAAACTTCACGTAGGTCTCCACAAAAAACAAACTTCATGGAAACTTCAACTCTTGCCAAGTTTGAGGCCATAAGCAGATAACAGAGACAAAATGAAATAAATGTTTAGAAGTATGCTATTGTTCCCATGAATAATGCACTTCATTCATAGCTGTATATAGGGTGTTTTTTTTCTCTGTAGTTGTTATAAACCCCATTGCCATTCTCAAATCATGTTCTGTTAAAAGTGGTGTTTTCTTCTGTTCAGATCAGAACACCTTCTGTGCAGAGAGCCCTTTTAACACTGACTTTGTTTTGAACCTATGGTCTTGCATCTACAGCTGTGCACCAAACACAAGTTTTTCTCCAGATGGAGGACATATTCATCCTGCTATCATTTCTTCCTTCACAAGAATGCTCTTCCAATTGGTGTCCAACCTCACTTTTTCTACAGAAGAAGAGCAGACGCAATGAACACATCTCTGACCTGGCTTGCTTTCCAAGGATCCGGTTCTACTTTCCCCTTCACATAAAATACTCCACTTAACTTTGAAGCACGTCTTAGAACAGGAAACCATCTTTACTCTTAGTACGTTCACACAGCTGAAGTAGCAGCCCCATACTCTATTTCCAGGTGCAGGGTGCGGACTCTGTCATATGCCCAGCCATTCCCATGGACCACAGGTGCTCCTCCAGGCCAGGTGCTGTTTGTGCCATGTCCGAACTGTAATGCTAAGTCACATAAACAGTACCACCTGAGCAGATCAAGTGCAAGAACAGGGCAGAGTAGCTAGATACAGGGGCAAGGATTTGTCCCACCATTATTCTGCTACTCCCTTTATCCTGCATTAAGTCCTGGAAGTCCATAGAACTGCTGGCACAAAGCACTGCTTGTGGGGTAAGACCTCTAGGATTGAGCCCTGAATGACTAACAATAAACAAACTTTCAACGCTACTTTTCTACTCGACCTTAATAACTTTAACCATGTCTGTGAAGTCTAGGACATTAACTCGGGTATATGCTGGCACCAAGTGCAGCAAAATGAAAGTAAATAAAGCATTTCATTTTTAATCAAAAGTTTCCTCTGATTATACAAAGGCTAATGGTTTCTAGAGTGCCCTAGCACTCATTCCTAGACAGCTTAACAGTGCAGACAGAACTACATTATTTTTCCTCTCAGTACATGGCTTCACAACTCCCTCTCCTGTAGCAGTTCACAGTATCAGCAAAACCTGAGGATCTCAGGGAGCTGCATTTCATTACACCTTATTAGTTCTAATGCCATCTGAGCTATAAACTCAGATCACAAAGTAAGCCAAGAAGAAAATAATTCCCAGCTATCTGATGCTGAGTTGGATTTTGAAGCATTTTATACCTACTACATATCTTAAATGATATTTACCATTTGAGGGAACAAGTACAACCTGAATTCATTACTGCAACACAGCCCCACCAGTTTCCACACTTCTAAAGTCATTGGGGAGTAACTTGAAAACTCCATAGATGTATCTCTAATGTGGGGTTTATGACAGAAAACCAAATTACTTCTGACTATAGAAGATTAATTTTCCCATGTTTTACAGCAAGCCAACTTCTGGCTGCTACTGTTTCTGAAGAGTTAAGAAAAAAATATTCTGCTCTTCATTACGTCCTTGGCTTATCTTTTATCTATTTCTATCAGTAAATACTAGGGCTGGTGGAAAATGGTAACTGCTTTCAGACAGAAGTAAAAAAATTGATTCTGGCTAACTAAGAGGAAGCTTTTTTTTTAAAAAAAAAACAAACAAACAATTACTGTCATAAAGCTAGTTTCTATTAAATAATTTTCCATAAAGGAAATGAAAAAGTATTTCAATAAAAACAGAGTAACTTCATTGTCCATCAATGCTAGCATAGAACAATTCAGTTCAGAGATGAAAACAATCATGCATCTGAAAAAGTAATATTAATAAATTGTCTTCTGTGTGGCTCACATTATTAAAACAATGTTCTGATGCATCCTTGTCTACAAAAAGGTTGAGGCCCAAAGAAAGTCTGGGGTGCTGGAAAGGACAGAGTTTAAAGCCGCAACTTGCAAATCCTATTCTGGATCTGTCCAGAAACAGACCATAACTGGCACTATCTTACCACAGCAAAACTGTGTTAGAGACTACCAACCTGAAACATCTGCCGGACCTTCCTGCGGGGCAGGTTAACATTTAGTTTATGCATCAGCTGGTGGATCTCTTCAATATTCAGCAGACCATCTCCATTCTTGTCAGCCTCCTCAAAGGTTTGTTTGACCCAGCTACAAATGTGTCAAGGAAAGGCACAAGAGTGAAATTTCCTCATGCATACGGAGACAAAGCAGTTAAGAGGTAAGGGACAAGACTCAGATTCAGGAGAACAAGTCTCTGCCCCAAATCTTCTGGGCAGGGAAGTAATCCTTAGCAGAGAACCTTAACAACTTCCAGGGAGAAAAACTTGGGCATTATTCAATTCAGTCTTCACAAACAAGTCTTCCTCAAGTCAGTGCTTCCAAGTAGAACATTTGCATTAAGACTTCCCACAGCCTGCATTATTGTTATCATAGGTACACTGTAAAATAAAGTTATTGCTGGCAAAGATCTGGTGCTATCTACATTGTTCTCCACACACTCGTGCCAAACCAAAGCATTTTTACTACTGTACACCCTGTGGTACAATTTGCTATTGCACCTCCTGCTTGGTGCAACTAAAACAGTTATATTTGAGGGCTGGTGATTTTGTGACTCAACTCTAAGGAATCAAGCTCAATAGCCATCTGTATCAGGGATGATGTTAATCTAGTGTAAGAGGATAGAATAAGGAAAACTGTTAAACCAGCCAAAGTACATGATTATCGGCCTCTGGTTTCCATCAGAACCTCATTAAAAATTAACTATTCTTGTTTTTCCATGCTCTCTCCTTCAAGACTGTCACACAGTTCTTTCACATGTATCTGATAACTCTTCCATCTCTGGACAAGTTCTTTGTCCACCACTTTATCTCCAACACCTCTGTCCTCACCTTGTGCTACACTTCCAGAGGGCATCAGAACTGTAAGTGGCACAGAGAAAATGGATAGCGCCCATACATTTGCTTTTTCTCCCCTCACAAAGGCAAAATGGCATCAAATAAAGTCAACAGCTGTCAAATTCAGAAAACAAGAGGTGATTCTTCACGCAGCATAGAGCTCTTTTTTAACATAACCTTTATTGGGATGTTCTGCAGGTTTACATGGGTTTGAGCCGACACTAAACCAGTTTTTCTCTCCCCCTCTCCCTGCCCTGCTACAATTTCATTCAAAAGCTTATAACTGGTACTGGTTTGGACTATTATTTACAGGTTCACAATACCGGCCCCTTCACAATCTCATTTCTGCTACTAACTTCTCTGAGAACACACTCTAAGTTTTCAAAGACTGTTCAGCTTGCTCCAACATCATCTTCCACTTCTCCCTCCCTTCTGCTTGAATTCCTCCACTTTCTAACCAGTACCTTGTACCCCCTCTTTGCACATATATCCCTTTGCAGCTTTTGCCAGGTCCTTATGCTAGGTGGAACTGGTACAGGGTCATTCTGTCTGCAGTCTCTCAGCTCCCCTTTTGATACCACAAATGAGACTTCAAGTGATGTTTCATCAGTAGAGAACATGCAGCTTGGAAAAGTTGTGGATAAATACAGCAAACTGAGTATGTGTGCAACAGACTATGCAATATAACCCCCAAATGGACCTGTGCCTATCTTGTAACAGAATTAAACACTGGAAATAGGAATTAAAAATACCTGATGTATATTCTTCAGAAGGAATATTTACAAGTGATCACTGTAGATTTACATGTGGCAGAAGAGACAGGTTACAATTTTAGTCAATATGGGCTTTGTTGTTTATTGGTTTGTTGTTCTGGGTTTTTTTGGAGGTGAGGTTTTGGTTTAGTGGGAAGAGTGTTCTTTGTATTTAACATAGAATGAATCATAGAATAGTTTGGTTTGTAAGGGACCTTAAATATCATGCAGTTCTAACTCTCCTGCCACAAGCAGGGACACTTTCCACTAGACCAGGTTGCTCAAAGCCTGGTCCAACCTGGCCTAAAATACTAGTCAACACTGTTGTGAAAGCAAGCACATCAAAGAAATATTCAATGGACGTGATCTTTATAAGACGTTAATTTTGGTTGCTAGGTTACAACAAACATTTAAGGAGCTTTAAAGATTTGTGCTCCTGACAATCAATGGAGGCTGAGAAGTAGACACGTATCTGACATACACTGACCAGGAGAAACAGAGATGACAAGGAATTACAAGTCAGTTTACTTGAAGACTCCTAAAAACACTGAGTTTCACTTGTGCAGAAGCTAACAAATTCAAGTTTTCAATTGACAGTATCTTGAAGACAGTGTCTTCTAATGGACTTTGCAATTTGCAGCAGAAGAATAAAAACACAGAAGATGACAGAAATCCTGAAATCATACTGAGGTTATGTCATGGTTCAAGTACAGTCAGTAACCCACGCAGCCCGCTCTCTCACTCCCCCACTTTCTCCCCCCACCCCGCTCCCGGAGGAACGGGGAGGAGAATCGAAAGAATGTAACTCTCAGGGGTTGAGATAAGAACAGTCCAGTAACTAAGGTATAACACAAACCACTACTACTACCACCAATAATAATAATGATAAGGGAAATAACAAGGGAAGAGAATACAATACCACCCGTCAATACCCAGCCTGACCAAGCAGTGAACTAGCCCTGCCGGGTAACTCTCAGTTACATCCTGGGCATGACGTGCTGTGGTATGGAATATCTCTTTGGCTAGTTTGGGTCAGGTGTCCTGTCTCTGCTTCCTCCCAGCTTCCTCTCCTCCCTGGCAGAGCATGAGACTCAGAAAGTCCTTGGTCAGACTAAACATTTGAGCAGTAACTAAAAACATCGGTGTTATCAGCATGGTTCCCAGGCCAAAAGTCAAAAACACAGCACTGCACCAGCTACTAAGAAGGAGAAAAAATGACTGCTACTGCTGAACCCAGGATAGGTTAGTATTTACTGCGATAATTAGAAATGACTGTTTTGACTCTTCAACAAGAATTTCACTAACAAAATGCAAGACTATCCCCTGACTTCATTGCAGCTTAATGCAATCCCTAAGGCACAGCTGATGTTTTATTGCACAGGTAAGTGTCTGTGTCAAACCCATTACTCAAGCTTTCATTACAATCAACGGTAAGGTTTTTGATCACATAACAGCAGGTAAAAGGACACCCTACGCTGAAGTCACTAAAACACAAAAAATACAAGCCAGAAACACTGAATCAGAAGGTGGAGCTCGGGCTCATAAAAGGATACTGATCATGTGTTCTCTGTCGCTTAGCAAGTGAGTCCTCATCACTTATTCCAGCCATCAAATATTTCAGTCCTGTGATCCAGGTGCGAGCTTCCTCTGGGTTAGATGTAATCAGATCCAGTGACTCCATGTGGCTGCCATGGTAAATGGTAAAGCAACAGCTCGGGTCAAAGTTCCCCTCTGCATGGCGGTGGAAAATTTCAGACTGCCGGCCTTCAGTGACTTTGTAAATAGAATCAATGACAACTGTTGGGAAAAGGGAAAACAAAAGTTGGCATGCTTGGATATCCACACAACCTCTTTCTGGTTTTAGCAATTCTGAATTATTCAGGCAAAATATCATTAAACATTCGTTAACGTTACATTGTCATATCCCAAAGTGCTTTTTGTTTTCTAGGTTTGTCCAAGCCACATGTACAGTGCATCTGCCTTGAAGGCATGCCAGCGCATGTACAGGCAGGTTACAGCAGAGCTCTGAGTGCTCATTGCTACATCAGAGGACTGCAGGCTACTCAAAGGGGAGCACAAGAAGACAGATACCAAATGTCTTCCATCAATGAGTGAAACACTAGCTCCAAAGGGACTCCTCCTATCACAGCTGTACTCTCTAGAGCAGGAAGACAGGGATACCATGGCACAGTGATGGATAACATGGTTCCCAGTGCCATACCATGAAACAGCTATGCTGTTCAACACAACAGCTCTTAGCCACCACTCACTGGACCAAAAGCATCAACTGTCACTGTCTGTAGCCTTCCCAATTGCTTGCTTTTAATCTCAAGCCTCCTTGACAGTCCTGTGAACTAGTTATTTTATTCAATAAGCCACTAATTTCAAATTCCAATTTAAAACAGTGCAGCAGAAACAGTTTCAATACAAAATAATGCTACACATTGACTTCAAGATTTAATATCTAAAGAAAATTATCAGTTAAGATTAAGAAACCTCAATCTAAACTTTTCTAGATTCTGTACTTAAACCTGTGATGTATATACTTAAAATAGTTCCCTGCAGTTATATTCAGTTTGCTCATAATTCATATAGAGGTATGGAAAATGTTGACATCAGACTGAACTACACTGCCTTCCTTTCATAATCCTGAACTTTTAGTAGGTGGTTAAACTCTACCCACACTCTTGAAAATCTTCATGTAAGAATAACATCACATTTGAAACAAGCATCAAAAAGCATTTATTTAATCAATCCCTCTGTAGTTCACATTCTAATACTGAACTGCCCCAGAAATTAAAAGGAATATTAGAAGTTTACTTTTTGCCTTTTCGCTTTTTCTGGATGGTCTCCATCGAATGCAGGTTCTGTGCTCATCCAGGTAGAAGAGACGAACTAGTCCTTTGGTTCCACTCTTCAGCTTAACCATCTGAGTCCCAGATTGCATAACACTCATGCATCTTTCAACTGTGTAACAGACAGAATAAATTCAACTAAATGGCTGTCTAATTCCTCTAGTAAAATGACTTACTGGCTTTCCAGCATCTGCCAAGCATATCACATTTTCGATTTGCACCTTTAATGACAGAAACTAGTCACTGCTGTATGAGACATATTATTTCTTCTTCAGTAGCTTCTCCATATAGGGAAAAAATAAATAAAATCAAAAATAATCTGTCAAAACACTTTCACAACAAAGGAGGCAAAGAAAACTTTACCATGTATTGAAGCTAAATAAGTTAAAGTTGTTCAATACTTACCTCACTTAATTATTTTCTATTATTACACACACTACTGTAATTTTAAACCCCAGTACTCTGCAAATTTCAGATGGTGAGATTATCACTCAAACTCCCATTCCTCTGGGTTTGCTAATCTTTTAGCCTATATCTTGCGCTTTTGACACTGTTAGAATTGATAACAGATTTATAAATACACAATCCCTCCTCCCTACCACACACATTTACACCCTCTCCATCCTGCTACTAAGTTTCAAGCACATACTGTGATGACTTCCTTTAATCATCCCACCCAGGATGATAGGGCTTTGTTTCTCTATGTTTTGACTAAAATATACCCATCTCTTCCATTTCATCTCACATCTTCCCTCCTACAGTTTTCCAAACAGTAGGATCAAGATAACATTTCCTCTTGATCCATGCTCTTAAGTTACATTCTCATATCCATTCACAGCCTCTCCTCACTTGATATCACTCCACATTCACCTCTCAGATGATTTGTTTACACTCTGGCTGGCTCCCAAACACTATCTGTGTCTGTCTTTACTTCTTATCACCCTTTATTATTTCTCTCCAATACTCCTCTTGGTATCACAACAAAGACCAAGACACCCTCTCACTCCTCTCTGTCAGAACCAGGATTTATTTTCTAAGCTCCTGACAACTCCTTAATTCCCACAGCAAGTGGCACATCCAGCAGTGGACTCAGACCCAGCTGAAACCCAACAGTGCTCTCATACACCAAAACACATTGTGATCGCCCTTCTCAGTTAACCTCCACAGCAGATATGTGGCCAGAGCATGTCTTCCAGCAGTCACACAACTCTGAGGCTATCAGTGAAAGAAAATAAGCCTGATGCTCCTTCTGAAGCGTCTCTGGGTCAGATGCAGTCAGAACAGCATCCCAAACATTAGTCAAATATGGGACAAACAGCCATGGTTGCTGGACCAGCTTCCCCTGGCTCCCTCACACAAAGGGAGATGGCAAGCCAAGCTCCACGTCACATAAACTGCATCAGAAGCAGTTTTTACTGAGTTGTTTTTCCTGAAGGAAAGAGAGGACTCAGGTTGAGCTAAACAGAACTAAAGTGTTCTGAAAGCATCAGATGCATGAGTGCAGTAAATTTGTCCTTTATATGTCCATAAATATATGTCCTTCCCTGAATATACATAATATACACAAAATGAAAATGTGGCTTTGGAAGTTCTTTAAGATGAGCCAGGAAAGTACATAGATCAAGCCAGAAATAGATGTTATGCAGTATCCACACACTGACTGTGGCAGTTTTAACCTGTACCTATCTGAAGATGCACAAAATAACAGGAAGACAAGCCTTTACACTACAAGAGATGGAATATTCAGAACCTTGAAGAAAGATTAACTGAAGCAAAACTAAACCTCTAAAACTTACTACATATGTACATACCTGCACACCTTCTCTTGGCAAACTGAGCTTTTCATTTTGGAACTGAGTTTAGATCAAGTTTGCCTTGGATTCATGCTTAACATACAATAATTGTCCTCCAGCACAGGAATAAGGTTCTCCACAAAAAAAAGTTGTACCAGTGTGTGCGTGGATATGCAAATCTGTACCGCTGCATTAGCCTGGCATAAAAACTTCAGACACGTTCTTATTTCACTATTAAAAGTATCAACACTATTAGAGCGATCAATTGCAACAGTGTTTTATCTAAGGAAGAGGTTTAGCAACAAGCTATTCAACACAAAGTGTGCTTCTTTGCACCCAAGGCTATCAGTTATTATTAGAAGTCTTACAAAAAACCTAATTCTCACATAAGTCTTTATTTTTATTAGCTCAGTTATCATAGGAAAAAAAAACAACCAACAACAATCTGGATTCACTGAAGATGCTGAAGACAGATAACAAACAGCAGAAGAAAGAGGTCTACATTTCTTTACTGTAAGAAAAGCAGAAAATGGGCCACACAGATAATTACAGCCAACAAAGCCATGGGGAGAAAAGAAAAAACAAAAAACTCACAAACCAAAACCTCTTCACTGTTTCAATTGCCTAATAATTTCTGTATCACATTTGTAACTGTTATAGATGCATTTCACATACACACTTGCAGATAGACTTCTGAATCAAAGTTAGAGGGAACAGATTTTTAAAACACTTTTTTTCAAAGTGGAAGAAATCCAGTTCCTGCCAAATATCTCAACATTCTCCATTTTTTGGATGCCACCTGCAAGAAGCCCACTGCCCAAATAAGCACCATCTTTTCTGCTTGAAATTTTCCATCAGAAAATATCATCCAAATGCAAACATTTAAAGAAGAATAGTAAACATGTAAGAGAGTTCATCACATTGTCCCTACTGTGTAGGTATTAATAACAGAAAGAATCCACTTCTAAAGAAAGGACTAGGGTAATGGAACTGCCACACCATTCATAGGCCCATTGGATTTCAACTCTGCAAACCATTTACAAAATATAGTCCTCCCCTTAAAGCTATTTATAAAATATAAGTACACAAAGAAAAAAACTCTTGTTCAAATCTATTCCTAATATGCTAATTTCAGTCTCTGGCCAGACATTCATAAAAGAGAGACCACCGCACGTTAGCATCTGAATAAAGTGAAGGCAGTTCAGAATAAAGCTCCAGAACAGCAATTCAAGAATGTTTTCACTAAGGAATAGGAAAACTCACTTCAGAAAAGCATTTAATCGTCTAGCTAAACCATGAATACTAAGTAAGTGAAGCAGCTCCTCGATGCAGAAGTTTGAGAAAACAAGACATATAATGATTTCCATTAAATGGTGGGTTTTTTTTTTTTACACAAGGACTAGCTATGCATTTTTTGCCCAAAGTCTGAAAATTAATTTAGTGAAACTAGAATACAATATAGTTTATATATTACAAGAACAAAGCAAGTTAATCTGGAAATACAAAATTATTAAGCTTATGCATTGTTTATTTAAAGCTTTACCTTCAAAGGAAAAAAAATAAAAATCTGAAAACTAGTAATTTCTCTTTCCAGATTTATGCAAACTTATTCTTGATAGTCTAAATTCATCCAAACAGACATCCTGTAGTTTAATGGATTTTAATAATATTAAAAAAGTCTATTTTTTCCTTCCAAAATAACCATTTAGAGCTAAACAGACCTGAGTTCAAAGAGCGTTTTCTGATTTCTAGTTCAAACAATGATAACTATTCCTAGCAGTACACATATCTCCTCTGCAGAAGGAGCTGCTTCTCTAACAGTAAGCCAGATACAAACCCATCTGTGCCAGCTGGACTTTTTCTGAAGTGGCCACACTCCCCAGCACATGGCAGACCTCTGAAGCCAGGAGGAAAGCCATCCAAGCTCCTGGAAAGTCCAGATGTTACTTGAAATCTTGCACGTTAGGCAGATTCTATTTATTCTACCTGACAGCACAGCTCCTTGCTGCTGAATAAATCAAGCTGCTGCCTGCGAACATTAAGCTGGAACTCTGACCACTAACCATACGTGGTCTTATGTTCAAAAAGCACTCTAATCTGCCACAAATCAGTCAATGCTACTGTCCATCCAGCTCTGCTCTAATCTATCCCGATATGTAATCGGGTCTTTAATAACCAGCGAATAGCTTAGCACTGCACCCTGCAAGAATCTCTCACAGAAAGTTACAGCTCTGTTCACAGGTTTAACAGTCATGACCTGTTATTCAAGGGTTTGCAATTAACTTGGTTTAATTCTCAACAGTCATAGTTATGACTTATACATCTGCTTGCTGCTGTGTTTCACTACAAAGCCCTAAGGTGTGCAGAACCCTTTAGATGGAAAATATTTAGGGAATTAAAACATTACACCTGGCACCACTTTCAGTAAAACAGAAATGCACTTTACTATATAGGGCACATCACATCAGTGAAACAAATATCCACTCCCCATAGAACATGTTATCCAAGATTAAATAAATACGCGGGTCACTGTGCAATGGGAGCCAACAGGCAGGCACCATGCAGGAGAGGCACTGGCACCCGAGGGATGCTGGCTGGGATGCAGCTGGGATATTTGGCATGTACCAGCTGCCCCATTGCCCACACGTGACAGCCAACACTGCATGTCAACGTTTTCTGGGTTATCCCAACTCCGCTGCTTTTATGGACTTAATGTTACAGCTGTCTGACAAAACAAAAAGATTAAATAAGGTATAAAGAGCATTACCAAACAATGAGAAGTATAATTATGAAAGAGGATGAGCCACATTTCTAAACTATATGCAGTAACCGCATAAAGGCAACATTAAGCTTGAGGAAATAAAAGAAAGCCATAAAACACAGAAGTTACTTTTTCAACTGCAACATCAGCTCTTCTCCCCCCGCCTTTCAGGTGTTTTTGTTTCACTGTACACTTTGCAGATACATTGTTTGGTCTCTCTTCAGAGAGGGAAGAACCAAAAGAGCCTCCGGTACTACCAAACGCTATTCCCACCCACACAATTGCCAGGACTTCTGCAGACAGCTCCTGTGATTCACTGGATGCAGCATCCCAAGAGGTTCAACCTAAAGTAACTGCTCTTACACTACAGAAACCATGGTTTATCTTAGTTGTTATTCTCTTCAGTTTTCAGATTTAACACACACACACCCCCCAAATTCCAGAAACTGAACTCTAAGTGGGGCTGTTACAAAAAAGTGTGTGGTTGGTAGTTAACAAAGGAGTCTCAGCATGCTTCCACCACTGTAGTCATGTACTTGGATCCAGTTTGGAATCCAT